AATAATGATACAATATCCATTTCTTAACTATATTCAGTATTTTAAGGTGCCCTAATAATAGAATACCAATAATCTAGTGTACTATATAAATAACATTACTGAAACTATATTTTATGAAAATCGAGAAGATGAAGCAATAGATGGCTGAATTTAATAACAATGTTAAAGAACTGAGCTACTGAATTTAGACTTTATTAACACTATGGTTATATTTTTAGTTTCTTCCAATGGTACTCATTTAATCACTACTCTGTAATTTTCTTATTTTATTAACACTTATATTTTTGGTTGTACCTCATATCTTTGGGTTATTATATTTATCAATCAGTAACTATATAAAAAAGAACAAAGGCAAAACTAAGCAAGATCAATATGGAACAGCCTGCTGGACAGAGAGACTGAGGAGCATTCTGGTTGATGAGTGGTTATGTTCCCTGTGACAGCCATGCTCAACACCCCAATTCACATGCTAGTTTCTAAATGTCCCCCTATGCTAGTGTCTGAATGACTCTAAGTGTTAGGTTGGATTAGTTAAGTGTTAGGTTGGATCTTAACTCCCAGCATACATATCCTTACAATTTCAGGTGCAACAAATCATGAAGACATTAGCTTAGCAATTGTGTGTTAGAATATGTCACAAAACTTGTGGTTCTAAACCAATGTTGCACAGGAGCTGCAAGTTTATATGCATTAAAAAAACAAAGTAGGAAAAGTGTTCAAAACATGGCTTTTTAATGTATTCCCAACCATTTTTTCAGAAGCAGCTCATAAGAGGCATCTGTATTTTCTTTTCCATAAAGGAGAAACAAAATACCCCTTGGATGTGGGAAAGTGTTTCTTTTCTCCCCTTGTACTACAAGATGTATATGCATGCAACTGGACAGGGTGAGTCTGGCTGCACAAGGTCTCCTTGAATAAGGGGTGCTGTGGGGGTGCCTTGAATCCGCAGCCAATATTTGGAGTCTCTGCTCAACTGCCTCTCCCATTGGGATGCAAAGGAAGACATGTTTAGGATTTCCTTTTCACAACCACAATTGGTTCCAGCCTATTTTCAGACTTGATTGTTCTTTTGCTGGTTTATTCCTCTGCATCAAATCTGATCCATTCTGTTCAGTTTTAAGACCTTTATTATTATCTAAGAGGCAGAGCCCCATCCCCTTTCAATCGTTTACTTCCAATATTTAGTTGAGTTTCAAAGTATTTTTTAAAAAACCTGCTGCAAGCATCCAATAGTACAGACTGAAGCTGAGAATTGGATCCATGTAGCAACTATTTTTCCCCCTCTTGCTCTGTTTAGGCTATTATGGCCCTGCTATATATTTGTCATTGGGAAAGAAAAAGCAAACTAAGCAATGAATAGTTCATTTTTGATTTTCTAGTTGTAAATTCTCTTACTTTACTGCCTTTAACAGTTCAAAGAAGTCTTTGTGTTGAGATACTGGCAAGAGTAAAATGCATTTCTCCTCAGCGTAAGGAACGTCTGTCAGACTGGGTTATGGACTCCACTATGCAGCCTATGACCGAGTCTGCGGATTTAAATAACTCCGCCCTCTCCTGGATGATCCCCAGTGTTTCGACTCGGTCCTATGCTGGACAGTGGTGTCTTTCTGGACCCAGTCTGTTTCCAACGTATTTTCTGCTATTTTTACCTCTTTTTTATTTTCTTTCCTCTCAAATTCGGCTGTTATTCAATTTGGACGCTTTAAGAATTTTTTTTTTTTTCCTTTCAATCGCATCAGCGGCGCGAAGGGTCCTTACTCGATACCGGCCGCAGCCGCTTTTGCGGCAAGGGGGCTGCTTGCCGACAGCCCCCTGAGGGGTTGGAGCTCAAATTTCCCCCTCAGTCTCCCCTTACCATCGGGAGACAAATAGCTGCTTCTTAACGGCATTCGCCTAGCAGCTTGATCGGCGCCGTTTTTCTCTGGCGGGCTTTTCAAACGGCGCCATTATTTTCCTGCCGCCCTGACTGCCTTGAGCAAGCGGCTTGCCTCCTTCGCACGGACGGTTTTCCAGGAGCCTACCAGCAGCGGACCTGCCTCCCCCTCACTCATCGCCGGAGCTTCATCGTCTTAGAGGTTTGAGATCTCCAATCGCTCAGGGGCCCCCGGCGGTGCGCGCTGACCCATTTTAAGATGGCGGACGCCTCTCATCACCCTCGTTCTCGCTCCGCTGCTACCAGGTCCCGTCATCGACATGTTAGCGATCCGGGGGAGGGTCCCAGCAATCAAAACCGCCCGAGCAAAGCCCCATCTAAAACAACATCATCCTCCTCTGGCCTAACCAAACCCACCAGGGAGGAACTTAGGAGGCACAGGGCATTGGAAAAAGCGGCTCTCAAGGCTCAACAGCAGCCTGCCGCCATTTTGTCCCGCACGTCGGCCATTTTACCTCCTGGGCCCTCTCCTCCTGCGCCTCAATCTACCATGGCCCGTTCCGATCGGGACCTTTCTCCTGATCGCCCTTCATCTCGGGGTCCCACGTCATCGGAGGCAGAACAGGTTTTCCAGACTCTTCCGGACCCCTCTGATACTCTGGCGCAGAGGAGAGACACTACACCTGAGCCCTCTTGCCAGCCTTCCGGGCATGGGTCTTCTCAGGCCAGCGCAGGGAGCGTTTCCCACACAGATCCCCATGCTGCCTTGGAGGCCATCATAGCCAGAGCCATTCAACGGGGGCTCTCTCAAGGACTGCAACAAGGCCTCCTTCAGCCCCCCCCGCCCATTCCTGGAGCCCAATCTCGCCGGGTCCACTCTGGAGACCGCCAGGAACACCTGTCTTCTCCTGAGCAATCGGACCATGGTTCCCTCTCCGAGGAAGAGGAACCTCGGGATCAGTCTCTTTCTGACGACGAGGGCCTCGCTCCGGACCAGCCCGCTTTTGTTGGCCTCTTTAGGCCCCAGTTATTCCGTTCCTTATTGTTTAAAGCTCTAGCAGTCACAAGACTGGGGTCTCCCAATGTCTCGGGGTCAACATCACAGGTGTCCTCTGATCCAGCCTCATCCTTATTTGCTGAACCAACGGTTGAACCAGAACTCATTCCGGCCCCCAAGCTTTTTACGGATATTGTCCAACGACAATGGACCTTACCTGGTTCGGCCCCGGCACCCAATGGTTTGGATAAGCGATTGTACCAAACCGCTCCTGCTCTTTCGGACCTTCTACAGGTTCCTCCCGTGGACGCCCCCGTCGCAGCCTTGGCTGCTCCTTCCAGGCTTCCCAGCTCTCCGGAAGAATCTCTGCGACCCGAAGACAAACGGGCGGAGAAGACTCTCATCAAAGCTCATCAATCCGCAGCATGGGCAGTCAAAACCGCAACGGCCGCTTCTTTTTTTAATCGAGCCTCTCTGCTTTGGCTAAAACAATTACAAGACAGGTTACCACCTTCGGACTCTCGTACACACCAAGATTTAAACAAGATAGTCGCCGCCTTAGAGTACTCGGCAGACGCCACATTAAATTCTGCACGATTTTCAGCCAAATCCATCGGCTCCACAGTAACGTCACGTCGCCTTTTATGGCTCCGCCATTGGCAAGCGGACGCCAAGAGCAAGTGGCAACTAGCTTCTTCTCCTTATTCATCTTCTTCTCTCTTCGGTCCTCCCCTGGAACCACTTTTGGTGGAAACCAGAGACCACCGCAAGATTCTCCCGTCTGTCTCTCGTCGTTCCAACTCGCGGTTTTCTCCTTACCACCGGTCTCAGTCATTTCGACCTCAAGACTCCGGCTTCTCCCAGCCTCGCTTTCAACGTTCCTTTCAATCCCAGCCTTCCCAGGACTCACAGGTTAGACAGGGCCCTAGGCCCTTCCAGAAACGTTCCTTTCGAGGAGGCAGGGGCAGATCGTTTAGACGGTCCAAGTGAGGTTCACCTGGAAGCTCCCATTGGCGGTCGCTTAACCTTATTTGCCGCTCAGTGGGCTTCCACGACTTCGGACTCTTGGGTTTTACGTACGGTTCAGTTTGGTCTTTCTCTTGAATTCTCCTCCCCTCCCCCCTCGGTTTTTATCTCTTGCCCAGTCTCTAGGGACAGGGTCCGGAGATCCCTGGTTTCTCAGGCTATTTCCCACTTAGTTACCATCAAGGCCATACAACCAGTACCTCCCGACCAGCATGGCCTTGGGTTTTATTCCCGGTTGTTTATAGTTAGCAAATCCTCTGGGCGGTGGAGGGCTATCTTAGACTTAAAGGCTCTTAACCGTTACATTGTGTATCACAAATTTAAGATGCACACTCTCCATACTATCCTGGAAACCATTCGCCCCGGGGACTTCTTGTCTTCCATAGACCTAACGGAGGCTTACCTCCATGTCCCCATTCACCCGGATTTCCGTAAATATCTCCGCTTTCACTACCGGGGGCGACACTTCCAATATTCTGCACTCCCTTTTGGACTTTCTTCAGCCCCCCGTGTCTTTACTAAGATCATGGCGGCTCTCGTGGCACACATTCGCTCCCTCCCCATACGAATCCAATTTTACCTCGATGATATTCTTCTGCAATCTTCTTCATTCCAGGAGGCCCAATCCGATTTGGCCACTTCCATCCAAATTCTCCAATCACACGGGTTCTCCATTAACTGGACCAAAAGCCATCTGGTCCCTGCCACTTCTATCCAACATTTAGGGGCTGTCATAGATACAGTGAGGTCTACAGTTTCCCTCTCCTTGGACCGCCAGGACAGCTTGCGCTCGCTTGCCCGCCGCTGTATGGCAGATCGATCAGCCTCTCTCCTTAGTCTCTCTTGCCTTCTGGGCAAGATGATCTCTACTTACGATATAGTGCCGTGGGCCCGTCTCCACAGTAGGGAATTACAATGGTTCCTGCTCCCCCATCAACGGAAGCGATCAAGTACGTCCCTCATCAGAGTACCTATAGCCCCATCCGTCATATCCTCCCTCAGGTGGTGGACGTCCTCGGCCTTGTCAGGAGCTTGCTGCTTCAGGGAAACACCGCGAGTAATAGTCACCACGGACGCGAGCCTCCAGGGATGGGGAGCTCACCTGACACATCACATGGCGCAAGGTCAGTGGTCATCTTCAGAGCAACTTCTTCCAATTAACCTCCTGGAACTAAGAGCCATCCGTCTAGCCTTGCTTCATTTCCGAGACCTTATCGTGTCTCGTGACGTCCTTGTCCTTACGGACAACGTTACGGCGAAGGCTCACGTTAATAGACTGGGAGGCACCCATTCCCGAGCGCTAATGGACGAGACCCTGCTACTTGGTCTCTGGGCTGAGTCTCACCTTCACTCCCTTCGTGCAGATCATATCTCCGGGATGGAGAATTCGCAAGCGGATGCTCTAAGCAGACGTCGGCTGGACAACGCGGAATGGAGCCTCCCCCCTTCTCTCTTCAAGGAGATCACGACACGCTTCGGGTTCCCAGAAGTGGACCTTTTCGCATCGCAGGCCAATCACCAGGTTCCGAGGTACTTCTCTCGGTTCTGGGATCCCGGGGCGGAAGCCACGGACGCTCTTCGCAGCCCTTGGCCTCCCGGTCTCTTATATGCCTTCCCCCCCTTTCCGTTACTTTCCAGGGTGCTCAGGAAGATCCTTCAAGAGCAAGCGGAAATCATTCTCCTCGCGCCCCGCTGGCCCCGGAGACACTGGTACTCGGACTTGATCTCCCTATCTGTCGCTCGGCCGTGGTCTATTCCGGCCAACCAGATTGCCCTCGTCCAGGGTTCCCTTCGCCATCCGGATCCGGCATGGTTCCACTTAACCGCGTGGAGGCTGAGCGGTTCCTCCTGCAAGAGGCCAAGGTCCCCTCGTCCGTGATAGACATCATCTTAGCTTCCCGCCGGCCTTCTACTGTCAGGATCTACAACTCCACCTGGGCCTCCTTCTCCTCTTGGTGCCAGCGCGCTCGTGTTAATCCCCTTTCTGCTTCAATCCTGGACGTTTTACTTTTTCTCCGGGAGGGATTTGCTGCCGGACTATCTCCAAACACCCTCCGGAGGCAAGCTGCCGCCATCTCTACGGTTCTGACTTGCGGCTCCGCATCCTCGATTTCCCGGCATCCTGTCGTCCAACAATTCCTGCGAGGAGCTGCAAATTTAAGACCTCCTCCCGTTCATCGCTTCCCTACTTGGGATTTGAACAAGGTCCTCTCAGCTCTTACGGCTTCCCCCTTCGAGCCTCTTCGAGACGTCTCGCTCCGTTTCTTGTCATTCAAGGTCTCTTTTTTGGTCGCTATCACCTCGGCCCGCCGCATTTCGGAGCTTGCGGCTCTGTCATCTCGAAGGGACCTCTGCGTTTTTCACCAGGACAGGGTAGTCCTCCGACTGGACCCTTCCTTCATACCCAAAATCAATTCCCCCTTTCATCGCTCACAAGAGTTGGTCCTACCCAACTTCTGCCCGTCCCCTCAGCATCCCTTAGAACGCTCATGGCACACGCTTGACGTGCGTCGTGCTCTCAAAATATACCTGAGGCGCACTTCCTCCTTTCGGAAGACAGAGGCTTTATTTGTCTCTTACCAACCCGCTTCTATCGGGGCCAAGGCATCTGCTCCTATGTTGGGTCGTTGGATCCGCGCTACAATATCGACGGCCTACCAAAGACAATCCTTGCCTGTACCTCACCACGTCACTGCCCACTCCACCAGGAGCGCGGCGACCTCTGCTGCATGGGCGACCCAGGCTTCGTGGGAAGAAATCTGCAGAGCTGCCGCCTGGTCGAGCATCTCTCCCTTTATTCGCCACTACCGGGTGGACTCGTTTGCTTCTGCGGATGCGGCCTTTGGGCGCAGAGTTCTCCAGACGGTCCACTCGACTTGAGGTAACAGGGCCCTTGATCTTCCCTCCCAGCGGACATTCAGCTTTGGTATGTCCCCAGTCTGACAGACGTTCCTTACGCTGAGGAGAATGGACGTTGGACTTACCTGATACGTCCGTTCTCTCTTAGTAAGGAACGTCTGTCAGCCCCACCCTTCTGCCGTGCCCTGTTCCCGGGGGTGGGTGGTGTTCTCTTACCTCTCTTTTGTATTTTCCAGAAAGACACCCCAGTCTGCGTCTACGCCCTCGCCGAAACACTGGGGATCATCCAGGAGAGGGCGGAGTTATTTAAATCCGCAGACTCGGTCATAGGCTGCATAGTGGAGTCCATAACCCAGTCTGACAGACGTTCCTTACTAAGAGAGAACGGACGTATCAGGTAAGTCCAACGTCCATTCTATTTAATTGATCTTACTAAACTACTTATAAGCTAGTTAGTGGTCCTTCTGGGATATTACTGTCCTTTTCTTGTCCTTGTTTTCCAAATCTATGTCCTGGATTTTTAGCATCCTCGACCATCAATTTCCAGAACCCCACCTATTTTTCAGACTACTTCTCTGGTCTCCCACCAATTCTGTTGTTCAAGAGGGAAAGTCAAAAATGCCCCCCACACGCACCCACACCACTTTGACTGGGAATAAAGAAACTTTTGTGTTTGCTCTGTAGCCTCATTAGAGTCTCTGATTCCCTTCATCTGATTCTGATGTCATAATGTTCCCCTGCCTCTCTGGCTATTAAACAATGAAAGGTGGCATAAGACATGGGCTGCAAGTGGTTTGGCCGATGGTCAGCTTACCCACAACAAGAGTATTACAATGGAATTTCTTTCAAAATCTATCCAAAATCCACTTTGCCCTATTCATTTCTCCCAATTCTGGGTTAACTGGATTTGAGGTCAACAGTTCAAATTCAGCTGCAGGTCACTGTGAGAGAGTTATTCTCGGTGCCTGCTTTTCTCTACTTTTAAGCTCTTGTTAATTGGTCCCAGAGTGGCTTCCTTGGCAACAGTGAGACTGCCAAAATGAAAACAAGACCCTGTTGTTCCACCGTTAAGTACAATAAAATGATGTGACTAGCTTGATGTTACAATCAGGCATGCAATTGGTTATTTTAAATCCATGTATGAGCTTTGGTTCACTCTATGTGTTATAAAGGCAAGGTGGATGCACAGCTAATAAAGATATATAAGAACTTTATTATCATTTTCTAGTAATAAACCAGCAGGAACATCATCTAACATCAGAATTCAATCCACTTAGGCTGCAAAGAAACTTCTGAAGAAAAAAAAAGGCTAGGAAGGCATCAACAAAGGAGATCAAAGTAGCAAAGAGAAGCTATTCCGAAAAACTGAAGAATTAGTTTTCAGCTAATATAATAGCAAATGTGTGGGGAAGCCTGAAGAACATCATTGGCCACAGCAATCTTCCCTCCCTTCAAAACGATGCTATAGAGCACTGTACATCAAGACAACTAGATACAAGAACAGTTTTTTCCCGAATGCCATCACTCTGCTAAACAAATAATTCCCTCAAACTGTCAAACTGTTCACTAAGGCTGCATTACTATTGCTATTGGTCTTCTCATCATTCCTGTCGCCATCTCCTCCCACTTATGACTGTATGACTAACTTTGTTGCTTATATCCTTGCCATTTATATTGATATTGATTGTTTCCTAGTATGATTTAATTGCTTATTGTACCATATGACTGTCACTGGGTGTTGTGCCTTGTGATTCTTGATGAACGTATCTTTTTTTCTATGTACACTGAGAGCATATGTACCAAGACAAATTCCTTGTGTGTCCAATCACACTTGGCTAATAAAGAATTCTATTCTATTCTATTCTATTCTATTCTATTCTATTCTATTCTATTCTATTCTTGAAGAGAATCATCAACTGGTGGATGACTCAAATGTGTTCTGTTGTAGGTTTGAGACATCTACCACTACCTTCCCAACCTCAAACACACCAACAATAACCAAATCTCCTACATCTATGTCCAACCCTCTGCCCCTACCCCTTGATCCTAGAAAAAGATGTGCGAGGTCTATTTCGTAGGAAAAAAGATAAGAAAAGCACCAGCACCAGACAGAGTAATGCCTTCTTGTTAACACCATCAATAAAAGAGCACAACAAAGTATGTTCTTCCTACGCCAACTTAGGAAATTCAGACTGCCCCAAGAGTTGTTGATACAGTTCTACAGAGGAATTATTGAGTCTGTCATCTGTACTTCAATAACTCTCTGGTTTGGTACAGCAAGTAAACAGGACAGGACTGGTATAGACTCTAATGGATAGTTTAGAACTACAGAAAAAAACAATTGCAACCTATTGTCAAAAAGCTAATAATCCATAGAAGACCTGTATATTGAGTGAGGCAGAAGGAGGTTGAGAAAATGTCTACAGGCTCTTCACATCCTGGACTTAAACTGTTTCAATCCTCCCCTTAGGATGCCGCTATAGGGCATTGCCAAAACAACTAGACACAGGGACAGTTTCTAAGTATATTTATCCATATCCATATTCTAAGTATATGTATCCATGTTGTATGGCTGTAGATGAGATATCCTTCTCATCCTCCCTACTACCTCTTCTTATGGTATCATCTTATAATTATTATAACTTTGTTGCTTTGCATATGTACCCTGTTTTCCCCAAAACAAGACATCCCCTGATAATAAGCCCAATCGGGCTTTTGAGCGCATGGCAATAAGGCCAAGTGCTTATTTCAGGATTCAAAAAAATATAAGACAGGGTCTTATTTTTTGGGAAACAGGGTATGCATTGACAGCTTCTGCACCAGAGACAAATTTCTTATGCGTCTAATCACACTTGACCAAATAAAGTATTCTACATTCTAATTCAGCCATACCTAGAGGGCCACAAATTTACCACCATAACAAAAATCATGGAAGTCACCCATCCACTCATTATTTTTGTTCTCATTCATCTCTCATTCTTATTATAAAAGCTCTCAAGCTTGTTATAAAATTATATATCTGTCCTACAATTAGCTTGGGACATAATGGGACATAAATGCAAGTAATAAGCCAATAAATAAAATCAATTGCTTCCTAATTTCCCCAAAGGTGTCTGCATTTCTAAATTGTCACTTAATATCACTTCCTGCAGGAGTGGGCTTTTATTAATTCCATGCCTTCTTGTTTTAATTATATAAACATTGAAAGAAAATATCATAGAAGGAAAACAGGAGATAAAATAATCCTTTTGAGGAACATTAACTTTTAAAGGGCAATTCAAAAGCATTATGAATGGACCAAACAGAAATCAGTTTACCAGTTATCCCTCACCTATATTCAGCAGAAAATAATAGATCAGGCTTTAGCACTGCACAGGAAATCTTTAACTAAATTTGATAGTGACACAATGAAAAGTCTTGTGTATGGGAAAACATACTGCTTGGTAATACAGTGCAATATTAAGTGCCAATGGATCTATTGCATTGATTGGTTACTTTGATGCAGTGGTTAAGGCACCAAGCTAAAAACTAGCCCTGCCTTAAATATAAACCCGGCTGGGAGTTGGGAAAATGGGAGGAGAAAGAAATATTAGGTATGTTCACCACCTTCAGTTACTTATAAAAATAATAAAGGTGGGGTTTAAAAAAAACATGACTAAATCAATTGCATTTCCAATAAATTGCCGAAAATGTATAATTACAACACAGTAGTATTAGAGAACTATACAATATTTCTATGCAACTGATCTATGCTGTTTTTGAGAAACATCGGTACAGTAATAGAATCCCCAGAGTGAAAGATCTAGGGGCATCCAAAAACATTGTTGAACAGGCGTAATGTAGGTTACTGTAATGTCATTGCAGAGATCTACTGTAAGGCATTTGAATAATAACTCTGAAATTCTTCCTTGGAAATTGCACAGTGTCACTTTCACAGTAATGAGATGTTTAATGCAATATTATTGTAGTTACTGGAATGAATGTGTGTGTGTGTGTGTGTGTGTGTGTGTGTGTGTTCCTCTAGCCAGGTTTTTCCTACGTAACCAAGGTTTTTCTGCAGCCCTAGCTCAGTAGATTTGCATCCACTCGATTCTGGGCTTTTTTCTTTTCTGGCACCTGGCACCAGAACTTGTGTGTTTTTCCTCTAGCCAGAAAATATTTAGCTCAGTAGAATCACATCCACTCGATTCTGGGCTTTTTCTGGCTAGAGGAAAAACACACACAAACCCTACAAAGAAGTAAGAAAATAGATACTATACCTTTACAGGGAGGATACATAAGATGTGGGTGTGGCTTACTGATGAAAGCAAACGAGCTAAAAATAGATCTATATAAGTCTCCCACCTAGCAGGAAGAACTTGCTGGCTGCTAGAAAAGAAAAAAGCCCAGAATCGAGTGGATGTGATTCTACTGAGCTAGGGCTGCAGAAAAACCTTGGTTACGTAGGGAAAACCTGGCTAGAGGAAAAACACACATAAACCCTACGAAGAAGTAAGAATATAGATAGATAGATAGATAGATAGATAGATAGATAGATAGATAGATAGATAGATAGATAGATAGATATAGATATAGATATAGATATAGATATAGATATAGATATAGATATAGATATAGATATAGATAGCTCTTTTTTTGTAGGTCTATATGTGCATTACTTTTCTAGCCAGGGTTTTTCCTACGTAAATCAAGATGTTTGCATAGCCATAGTTAAGTGACATCCCAAATCTTCTAGGCTTTATCAGACATTTAAGCAGCATTATGTTGTCTGCTGCTTACCCCGCCCACTCCCAATCTATATATATATGTATATGTATATGTATATGTATATGTATATGTATATGTATATGTATACACATACACCTAGACCTTGAGTATGGTAGCAACATTTAATCAGCTATCTTGCAGGATCATCACAGGGTGAGGATGAAAACAGTTCATGACAGCAGCTGCAACTCTATGACTGAAACCCTACCTCTTTTTTCACATGAAATGTGATTTTTTTAAAAAAAGGGGCAGAGCTTCAACTGCACAATCACATTCTCCATTTTAACCTTTTTGACCATCCTCTCTGGATGCAAGACAGGAAAAATGCATGGTGCAAAATATAACAAGCACAGTTACATCCAAAGGAAAATACAGCTTAAAGTGTGTGTTCCAGTTGCTATATCTGATCTTGTTTACTAGAATAAATCTCATTTAAAAGAAAAGCTACAAAAGGTCTTCAATGCCCCTAAGACTAGCCACCTCCTCTATTGCTGAAGCTGCGTTGTTTCCCAGAACTTTGCAGGGCTGAAATGTCCAACTGAGTTTTATAGGTAGTTCCTCAGAGACGTGCCAGGTTCCCCGTCATGTGGGATAAAGAAGATTTAATTGCTATGCACAGGGAACTCCTTCCCCCCGCCATCCTATTCACAGCATTCAAGTCTTGCCCAACAGCCAAACAACAGTCTTTTCTTTCTGTTCCAATGGGTGACATGCTTAAAAGACTCAGGAGCTGGCAAACAACTGCCTTGACCTTCACTTTCGGGGGGGGGTTGCACAGAGAGGGAATTAAATTTGGAGATAAGCCAGGGACAAGAGGAGCCACAATCTGTTCTATAAGTACATTGTAAAATTTTCCCAAATAGCAAGTTAGTCACAATGATACTTGGGTGCGGCGGGATGTCAGTGAACAGGATGCTCATGATATAGGATAAGGTATCATAAGGGCATCAATAAATGTGGCAGCAAGATTATATGTGCAAAGGCATGGAAACTACTAATGTTGTAGGTCAACTAGTGCAACTTTTACAGTATTGTAGTAAGGTAGTTAGTACAGATAGTCCTTGAGTTACAACAGTTTGTTTAGTGACTGTTTGACGTTACAACAGCACTGAAAAAGGTGATTTATGACCGTTTTTCACACTAACAAACATTGTAGCATCTCCACAAAATTCAGACATTTGGCAAGTGACTCATATTTATGACAGTTGCAGTGTCCCAAGGTTATATGATCCCCATTTCCAGCTTTTTGACAAGCGAAGTCAATGGGGAAGCCAGATTCTCTTAACATCGGTGTTACTAACTGAACAACTGCAGTGATTCACTTAACAACTGTGGCAAGAAAGGTTGTAAAACAGGGCAAAATCACTTAACTATTTAGGTTAGCCATAGAAATTTGGTGCTCGATTGTGGTTATAAATTGAGTACTGTACAGGTAATCCCTGGGTTACGAATCCCTTAGTGAAAGTTCGAAGTTACAACGATAAGCACCCCCTAATGTTTGCAAATAAGTCCTGAAACTATACATCTTGCAGCACCATGGCAGTTGTTTGCCCTTATGAACAACCACAGAGGCTCTGCAACATTTGTCGTGAACGTTGCCAGCCAAAATTTGGCCCTCCAGGGCTCCATACAGCTGACCGTGGGCCTCCCCTGGCTCATTGCAGGCCAAAATGGAGCTTCTGGGATCCCCACAGAGGGCTATGCAGAGCGTCAGAGGGCTGGATCCAGCCCTCGGAAGCTCCATTTTGGCCTGCAACGAGCCGGGGGAGGTCCACTGAGGGCAAAACAGAACCTCAGAGGCCGGATTTGCCACTCAAAAACTCCATTTCAGCCTGCAACCTGCTCGGTGAGGCCTGTGGAGGCCCAAATAGAACTGCAGAGGGGCAAATGTGGCTGATAGGCTGGAGAGGAGATTGCTAGAACTTCACAAGGTAAGTGATCTGGCATGACAGGTTGGGGAGGAAGCAATTGTGAGGAGCGTTAGGAATTTCAGTGGGTCAGGGAGGCCTTGGGTGGTCTTAAGCAGGTGGCTTGTTCCATCACTAGGCCCCCCCATGACCTTCCCCACCCCGAGATTCCTCATGTGCACTTAACAAGCCACACATTCCATCAGTGAATGCATGGATGAAAGGAGGGAGTGATCCCATTCAAGGTATGAGATTCACTCCCACGAATCCTTGGGCTATAAAGAGAATGGGCAGGCTCCATTACATTCATAACTCGAGGACTACCTGTATCGAAATTTCAGGTCTCAGCTGAGTTCTATTGAGTGGCTTTAAAAGTTGATCATGAGCATGAATGTCATTTACTCATTGGGGAGTGGTCCTCAATCCTTGAGGTTAGTGGTCTCCCATTTGGAATTTGAGGGGCATGTAGAGTGTACTAGCAATATGAAAGATGGTGGTGGGAGATCTTTATTCATATTACGTCTGATAAATTTCCAGTTTATGAGAATCTACCTGCCACTTGCCTAACTCCAATGCAGTTATTATTCTAGATCTCTCCAAACCAAGCATTCAATCACGTTATTTTTATTTTGTATGAAAGTTTATGGATTACTTTTTGGGCATAAGCATTCATGGAAATAAAGATGACAAGGGAAGCTAATGCAGGTCAGATGCCCCCTTTAATTACTTTTTAAAGTGCAAAATATCAGGCAATAAAGTCATCTTTTTGAGCTGTGTTTTTTCCATATGTTCTTTGCTTGTTCCAGCAACTGTTAGATTTCTTTCTCACCAGCCACAAATGACAGTAGCTCAGATTTGGTTTAGCAGGTTGAGATTATAATTTGGAATCTGCATCCTACCTTTAAATCAACCACATGCAAGGTGAGACTTTCCAGAAGTTATATTCCAATATATTGAAGACTAAACTTGTTCAGTCTTGTTTATATCACTATATAAAGCAATTTCTATCCTACTTCAGAATATATCAGTAAATTCAAATTTTTTGCTTGATGTTCTTGCATGGTTTGTTTTTTCGGAAAGTAGGGAAGGAAGTGGGGCAATGTTTGAGAGAAGCATTAGCTAAAGGGTTTGTTTAAAAATCACATTCAGGCAAAGAGGACATAAGTCAATACGTTTCTGCTTACTCTAGATTCTGGAGGTCCATCTCCCTTGTTGGAGCTCCAGCAAGGTGCAAACACTCAAAAGCCTGAGAATGAACATGGTGAATAGACCAAAGCATAAGCTTCCTACATATTTTTTTCTATGACAGACCTGAATACATTTGGGAATACAGTAACCCCCTTCCCCTAAAGCCAAAAGACTTCCTTCTCCTTGATTATTGTTTTTGTTCTGTCTGTTCATTTGATTTTTACCATTTTTACCATTGGATAAACACGTTTAGGCTTTCACATGTGGAAGAAACAACTTCAAGGCTCTTGCCTGACGGGTGGCCAGAATAAACTTTACAATGACCAAACCATCCTCTTTGGACAAGATACAAAGATATCCTATTTAAAAAAAAAACCTTACATGAACAAATACAGATGATTTGGGCTTGCAGTTCCTATATCATGTGACTTTAGACCAGTGGTGGGGAACTATGGCCCCTTTATGGCCTGTGGACTTCGACTCCCAGAATTGCAGCCATGCTGACTCAGGAATTCTGGGAGTCGAAGTCCATAGGTCATAAAGGGGCCATAGCTCCCCACCCCTGCTTTAGACAGTTCATATTTAGAATGAGCTGGTAAAGTAGAAGGCAGAAGTGTGACTTTCAGCCTAAATAAAAGCATTACCCCTAAAGCAATATATGATCTAAGAAGTATATTGAGAAGCTTTTGCTGGCATGAAGTTCTTTAATCATGTACCACTTGGGCCATCTATGGTTTCTCAAAGTTCTCTTTGACAGAGGTTTTCAACAATGCTTCCCCTCCCACCCCACATCCATTAACTTTGATTTCTTTGTTTTTGTTAATTTCTTCCCTGGGGACACTGTGTTCTTTCAGCAATTCTCAGTTTTCCTGACAATGGCAATTGGGCTGGGAAGTTGGTATCAATCTTGTAATGATGAGCACGAAACTGGACAGTTTGGGACAGGGCATAGAGTACAGAGCTCCTTCTGTTCTAAGAAAAAAGCTCATGCTGTGGCCTCAGGTCTATTAGTAAGGCCCTTTGTGGGACTGTCTGCTTCTGGCTCCAGAGGGACGCAGGGCCTGGTCAGCCAGGACTGTTCACAAAATGGGGGGGGGGGATTTGGTAGTTAAGCAAGAACTGGAATGAGATGAGACAGCTGCAGACCAGGGGTGTGGCAGGCAGACAAGCAATTGGCTCAAACTCTTTCCCAATCATGGTAATTTCCAGAGAACTGGGAGCGTCAAGGCCTATTTGCAATTAAAATGGTACTATATAATAATAAGGTGGGAAAGGTCTGACCAATACCTTAAATGAATGTGCATTGTAATTGGCAAAATCACTGTTTGAAAGCAACCAATGTTGTGCCTGCTGTCCACCTACTTATCCCAGCAGGGCCAGAAACCAAGAATCCAGTTAATGTCAGCAATAATGTGACTCATTCTTGGTGGTTCTTTTTGCCATCTTCTCCTTTTTTATTCTTAGAAACATAAACTGGTTATTTAAAGTATAATTTATCCCTATTTAGTTCTTAATCTTATTCAAGCAAGAGAAAGATTCTGACATACACAAGCACTGTCTCAGGCCAGATGTCTGATATTAGAATGAATTAGTCTTGATTAAGAGCAACTTTCTTCAAGATGGGATTTATCACTCAAAACCTGAGAATATCAAGTTTGGGAAGGCTAAGAGCATATATAGAAATATTTTCCAAGCACATTCTACGCACAGTCACTCAAGCCCTCGTCACTTCTCGTCTGGACTATTGTAACGCTCTCTACATGGGGCTCCCCTTGGGGTACACCCGGAGGCTCCAACTGGTGCAGAATGCGGCCGCGCGGGGGATTATGGGAGCGACTAGGCGCTCCCATGTGACTCCTCTCCTGCGCGAGCTGCATTGGCTTCCGGTGGACTTCCGGGTGCGCTTCAAGGTGTTGGTGATCACCTTTAAAGCGCTCCATGGCTTAGGGCCAGGGTACTTACAGGACCGCCTTCTGCCACCAATAGCCTCCCACCGGCCAGTTCGCTCCCACAGAGAGGGCCTCCTCAGGGTGCCGTCGGCTAGACAATGCCGGCTGGCGACCCCCAGGAGGAGAGCCTTCTCTGTGGTGGCACCTACCCTTTGGAACAATCTACCCCCAGAGATACGAGTGATCTCCGACCTCCGGACCTTTCGTCGGGCCCTAAAAACTCATCTCTTTCAGTTAGCCGGTCTCTCTTGATTTTATGATTTTATGGTTGGTTTTAAATTTTGATATGGATTTTAAATTGATAAATTTTAAACTATGGGCCAAATTTAATTATTTTAAATCTATTTTTAATCGTATTTATGTATAAATGTTTTTATTTTGGCTGTTCACCGCCCTGAGTCCGAAAGGAGAAGGGCGGTATAGAAATTCGAATAATAAAAATTCTGGTCTGGTATCTCTTTATAAAACTAAGATAACTGATTGTGTATCCACTCTTGTTAGTTCTGTCCCTTTTAATGGTACCAACTTGAATTGAAAAAAAAATCTAAAATTATGGGGGATCAATCTCATCCCTGTCTTTAAGGATCTGCTGGAACGGAAAGTCAATCAGAAGTTTAAAATTAAATTTAAATCTGATTTAATTAGTTTTTCAGCTATCTGTTTATGAGATGAATCAAACTCTTGGCATTTGGATACTTAAAGAAAATGCAGTAGATTGCTGAGAATGACATAGACAGTGCTATTCACATTCCAAAAATGCTGTACTTTGTTATACTTCTCAGTCTGAAACTCTTTCCTACTCCCTCCCTCTCTTAGACCAAGGTAACTGAGGTCTAATGGGGGGAGGTGAGAGGTGCAAGGGGATCTAACTTTTGATACCTAAATATTGCCTTAACATGTGAGTTGCAAGGAGATGGTGGCCATCATAGGCAGACAAAGTCATCCAAGTGCTTTCTCTCTCTTTTTGATCAAGAATGCTCAAAGCTCTTGCCTAATGTCTTTCTTTTCTCTCTTTGCCAGGGCACAGGGCACTTGGCATGGTAAATATGAAATATGTTGGGGCTTGGCAGGCAACCCATTCCTCCCCCTCTTCCAGCCCTTCACAGGCGTATGATCAGGCAGGGATGGTTAAACCTTCTGCATAAAACCCTGTGCAGCACTCATACAGAAAACCCTGAATTTGCAGAGCCTGCAAAAACATTCTGACCATGGAAGGACATAGACTCTCATCCTATGGAAGGCGCTTCGGCTCACAATCCACCTCTGTCCACCATGCCTTGAGGAGGTTCTCGCCAGGCCGCAGATACTTTCCTCCATCTCCCACTACCCAGTTCTCTGTCACTAAGCTGAAGACAGCAAGGCTAAGTTTCCATTCTGGCCCCAAGTTCTCCTCTGATAAGGTGGATTTTTCTTTGGCAGACGCTCTCAACAGTGAATTCAAAGAGACCCGCAGCAATGAGAAGGTGGAAATGATGGAGCTGAACGACCGTTTTGCCAGCTACATTGAAAAAGTTCGCTTCCTGGAGCAACAGAACAAAGTTCTTGTTGCTGAGCTCAATCAACTTCGAGACAAAGAGCCCAATAAGTTGGCTGACATTTATCAGGAAGAGATGAGAGAGCTACGTCATGAAGTAGACCAACTCTCCAACTCTAAAGCCCGGCTGGAGATTGAGAGAGACAACTTGCTGGAGGATCTCAACAATCTCCGGCAAAAGTAAGAAAGACTTTTCAGTTTTCATGAGACGGGGGCAGAGCATTGAAACCCAGAATTATAAGTGGAAGCTGAGTGATGCTAAGTTTTAAAATGGTCTAAGACTAAGATTTCCAAAGTGATCATTAGTCAAGATCTGTATCTTCTGTATTTGAAACCAATTTTTCAATCAATCAGATTAGTTAAATAATTTTAGGGACATATTTGCATCACCTTGCCACATTCTGCTTGACTATGGAATTGGATAGAGCAGCTTTCTCCAAAATAAAACCCTTCAGATATTAAGACAGCAACCCCTAAAATTCCAGTTAGCTAGAATTTTGAGAACTGCAATTTCAGCACATCCTAGAAATTCCACATTGAGGAAAAATACTCCATAGAGCATAGAATTTCAGAAAATGTGATTCTTCAGAAATCTATCGTTTCTTCAGCAAGACAATTAATAATGGAAGACTTATCTTAAAAGATAAGTGAAGTAATGAAAGCTTCCAAATCATTCTAATCTTCTCCTGCAGTACCAGGCAGCAGCAGAGATTTGGGAGAAACATTTTCTCCAGTAATACAACCTGATAGTGAAATCTGAATTTCTGGTCAGCATAACTTATAAACTGAGTGTGAATTAATGTAAAGACTTCCCTGAAGATAAAAAAACTTGGAGGTAGGCAATTCATTTCATAGATAGCTTCTAATTATCTGCATTTCTTATTTCTGAATTATAATTGTTCATTTACAGTATTCCTGGGAGATTTCAAGTAGATAGGAAACCCAAGTAAATATATACTGCATATATACATAATTTGTCCCAAAGGTGCTTTTTCTGGAGGCAACCTGGACTTTCTTCTTTTTTCTTTGAAGACATTTCGCTTCTCATCCAAGAAGCTTCTTCAGCTCTGACAGGATAGTGAGGAATGGAAGGATTTATATTCCTTGCAGACAGCTGGTAATTTGCTTTTAGAGGGTCCCTGAAGCACTTGGAGGTTTATCTGTGTCCTCAGGGTCACCTGAGTAGTGCTCCTGGTTCCTGTCGCCTGCAATTTTTCCTCTGGAAATCCAATCCTACTCCCATACCATTCAAAGGGTGTTCATCCCAAATTGTATAGCTAAACATACAGGGTCAACTCAGGTGACCCTGAGGACACAGATAAACCTCCAAGTGCTTCAAGGACTCTCTAAAAGGATGCAAATTATCAGCTATCTGCAAGGAATATAAATCCTTCCATTCCCCATTATTCTGTCAGAGCTGAAGAAGCTTCTTGGATGAGAAGTGAAACATCTTCAACGAAAAAACATGAAAGTCCAGTTGCCTGTGGAAAAAGCAGCTTTGGGACAACCTGGACAGACTTTTATACATAATTTATATATATTGGCTGGTGGGAATCAGAAAGCGACATTTTTCTGCAATAGTCCCTTCTTTATGGAACATTCTCCCCTTCTGAGATCAGAGTGGTCCCAACCTTGTTAGCCCTAAAAGCCTATGTTCCAAACTTGAGCTGCCGAATGTGACTATATTGCTAACGGGACAAATTTCTTGCTCTTGTCTATCATGAATTAGATGTTTTTAATGTTCTTTACTGGTTTTGTTGGTTTTTCCCAGTCATTGACTGAGATGGGTGGCCATAGATATTAAACAAACAAATTACACCATACTAAAGAATGTTCAAGCCAGCAGAGCCAATATAGAAATTAAATTTGCTTTAATTTAAATGTAACTCATTTCATTTAGTTAATTTGTATTTATTCCAAATATTTAACAAATTTCTTCCTTTGGTCCCAATTGAAATTAAAAACTCATTGTCAACTTTCAGAAGCACTGTAGGGCAGTACTCAGTTCTGTTGTTCCATCCCCAATTCAGTAGAGCTACTGTCCTCCCTTGAAACTCAAACTATTTTTAAAACAAGAACAGTATAGGTGTTATATTAAGAGCAAACCATATAATTTTCAAAATCAAGAGAGTGCTGGCCCCATTAGACAGAAGGAAGCATTTTCCTCAGTTGGCAGTTGCTGAGATAACAAAAGATTTCTATCATTCATAAATAACCTCAGCTACTTTGCTGCATAATCTTTAATCAACTGCAGAGGAAGGCTTGCCCAAGCATCCCCAGGACTGAGTGAAGGTTTAACTTCTATACATTGCACATGGAACAGAGGAGGGTCTAAACGGTGTCCTTTGGGCCAAGTAGCAAAATGACTTTGGCCTGCCTTTTTCAAAGGAAATCCTTGGTTGTAGAATATGGCAGACAGTCTTTAGATGCTGGGCTGGACTTACCATTCTTGGAAGAGGGAGGCCTACAGTGAGGGAGACTATGATTTGAAATGGATGGGACTGTGACCACTATGAAAGGGAGCAAGGAAAATATATTCCTAGAATTTGGGGGGAAGCTTCCTTATTTTATGGTTTACATTACAATTTGTATATATTTTGTGCCTCCAAATGACAGTAAACTACATTGTCAGTTCTTAGCAGTTTGGGATAGAGGAGAGCTACTGGTTAACCATCCCACCTACACAGCATCATCACAAAAAGTCCCATCTGGAATGGATGCAGACCAGCAGGAGGAGAGCTATAGCAGCCTTAGAACTGTCCCTCAAATATGGGGGATCTTTTTTAACAAAAATAAAAAATAAAAATTGGCATGCTTCACATTCCCTATAAGTAAGTCGGTTCCCTTCCTATTTTTGCAAGCCTCTTTTCTTTCATTCCCTGCTTCCCCTTTCCTTTGACTTTTCCATTCTGTAGGCTGCTGTGACACATTGCTTTTTTGAGCATTACAATCTAGACAGACACTGTTTATAGGTGATTTTTGGACTTAAGATTAAGACTTGCCTAGAATAAGAAATATTTTTTATTTATTTGTATCCCGCCTTTATTATTTTTACAAAAACCTCAAGGCAGCAAAGATATCCATCACATCTTCCTCCTCCTGTTTTCCCCACAACAACCCTGGGAGGTTGGGCTGAGAGAAAGTGACTGGCCCAAGATCCACCAGGTGGTTTTCATGGCTAAGGCAGGACTTAAATCACAGTCTCCTGGTTTTTAAGCTAATGTTTTAACCCCCAGACCAAGCTGGCTCTCTGTATGATCCTATAGCACCTTGCTCCTCAATATTGCAGCTATTCACACCTGCTCTGAAGAACTGTACATGTGGGTTGTCCTGCTGACCAGTTAAAAATATCTAATAGATAATAGATAACAAGAAAAGAGACTAGCTAGCTCTGAAAAAATATAAAAATAAAAACATTTCACATTATTTTCTCCTCTGGAAATTGCATATTCCCGAAGTGCCTTCCCTCAGAACCAAGGGTTTAAATCAGTTAAAAGTCCTGACATTAAAAGAATGAAAGGTTGAAAACTGTTAATCACATCTCACTATATTTGTCAGATTCCCAGATCGCACACCCACACAAAGCACACAAAAGACTCTCCAGGTTTCCTTCCTCACAATGGCTGATGGAAGGGTAAAAGTTGATTTCCCTCCTTGCAACTCCTATTGGGCCTTCAGTATATTCCTAATAAAAATAAGTTATTATAATTATTATAATTTGAAACTTTTACTGCATGCAGAAGTTTGGAGGAAGAGTGTGTATGAACTGCAAGAAATTTGCAAAGGTTTGAATGGAGGCGTTGAACTTGATGTTTGTCCTTGAGTATAGTGTCTGGTGGAAGAGTACTGATCATTCAATAAACCTGCCTTACTTTTCCACCCTTCTCTCTCTCACTCTCATTTAAGATTACAGGATGAGATTAATCTGCGCCTTGAAGCTGAAAGCAATTTGTCTTCCTACCGACAGGTAAGGTGGCAAAATGACAAGTCCTGTCTTGGAACAATGGAAAGGAAATATAAGAAGTCCTCAGAATTGTTGCCTGATTTGAGATGGTGGTTCTTTTGTTGTATTTCACTACAGGAGTATTTGCTGGTAGGGAGTCAAAAAAGTCAAGATGGCAGTCATAACCAAGTGATCAAAGTCCTGCCCTTTCTTATGTGCATTGCAACACATGTACAAAGGGTGAGGCTTCAATCATATGGTTGTGTTTACTATAATGTAGTCACCATGATACTCTGTGGACACCTTTTGCACATAGAATTATTCAAATACTGAAATTAGGCTACTTGTATGTTAGTTGAAGCAGCCTTTTAGGTATGTTCATTGTTTTCTGATGAAACTAGGAATTTTTGTAAACTTTAAATGAAGAAAGAAAGAAATATTCAGGGGTTTAGTATCAAGTATTCACTGTTCTCTGGCCTATTCAGATAGCTGCTCTTTATTCTGGACTTCATATACTTTATTCACTCTTTTTAATAAGTAATATCATCAGGAGTGTGTCACTTTTTCTGAACAAGGAGCAACCCTTGAACTTGAACTGCACCCCAAGAGGTGTGCTTCAAAATGTAATGGATGGATCCAAGATAAAAATTAGAAATTAATTGAAATCACATGTATATCTTAATAATTATGTTTACATAGTTAAAATTACATATAATTAATATTATTAATATTAATATCATGTCATATGGAGAGTTATAAAGAGAGTCTTTTTAGCCTCCTGAATATTATTTGATCTCAAATGAGATTGAAACAAATGCACATTTACAACTTTTATCATTCACTTCCTGAACTATAGACATCACAGTATATGCTATCACTATAGATAGCATATACGGTATATGTCCATATATACTTAACCAATATAAACCAGCTGATTAGATAAAAATACGCCAATCTGCATTTTGCTATATCACAGTAAACAAACAAATAAACAAATAAGCAGATTAGATCAGATCTGAGTTTTTGAAGAACAGAGATAGAATGCCCTGCCATGAATGATGTCTTGATCTGTGTGATAAGTCTGAAGTTAAAGAGGTAGAAGTAGTAGGAAATTTGGGGGAAACATATCTGAATATAGTTGTAATGGTGTTCTGTGGTGATGATAGATAAAGATGTATTTTGGAGTTCAAAAATCAGAATATAATAAATTCAGAACAATTATAAGCAGAAACCCATAACAGAAGCTAATGAGAAAATGAGAATGAGATATTTATTTATTATTTATTTATTCACTTATAAAATTTGTATAGCACCCAAGTCATTCAGGGTAACTCCAGATGGCTTATAGAAGTGAAACTCCAAATCTAAACCCAATAAAACTCACCCCCAACTATGTCAACAATCAAATAAACAATTTGATGGACTCCGTATTGCCTTGGGTCTCCAAGCCCACTGGCAAAACCATACTTTCTGGGGTTTTAAAAAGAGTATCAAGATGGGGGCCAATCTTTTCTCCAAGGGGATGATATTCCACAGGGAAGGAACCACCACAAAGAAGATCCTTCTTGGTCCCACTAGATCAGGGGTGTCAAACTCAAGTCCTGTGGGCCAGATCTGGCCCAAGGGGTGCTTAGATCTGGCTTGTGGGGCCGCCATGGAAACAATGAAGGACCGGCCCATGGTGCCTCTGCCACCAAAAATGGAGCTCAGAAGGGCCGCATGCTGCCCTCGTGAGCTCTATTTTCACTGACAGAGGGTTGCAGGAGGCTGTCACAGCCAGAAACGGAGCTCGGGAGGATCACATGTGTCCTTTGTGAGCTCCGTTTTCGCTGGCAGAGGATTGCAGGAGGCCGTTGCAGCCAGAAACAGAACTCAGGAGCCCATTTTCGCTGGCAGAGCACTTGGGCTACCACAGGTGTCCCCAACATGAGTAACGTCAAGCTGATCATGCCAACCCTAGCCAAGCTCACCATGGCTCCCGAGGTCAAACACAACCCTGATGCAGTCTGCAATGAAACCGAGTTTGACACTCCTGCACTAGATGGACCACTTTAAGGAAGAGAACTCATAACATACCTGCCTCCCCACCCTTTAAGAAAAACACTGGTATATCAGTTGCCTAATTCCTAAAGAAGGAAATAGTAAAAGCACATTTTCAAACAATTCCAGTTAAGAAAGAAAAATGAGGACAGCAGAAAAGGGTAATGCAACCAAATAAAATTTTTACTGAAAATCTGTTTTTAAAAAATGCACACAAATAACAGAAAAAGAGTCACATCACAAAAGAATAATAGAAATAAGTAGCCTGAGATTGGTATTATGAAAACTGCTTAGTTAGTGAAGGATGCTAAAAAATGACAAAAAGGACTTCTTTAAACATGTTCAAAATAAAAAGGAGAAGGAAAACATCATATTATCAATTTCTCAATGAAGAAGACCAAATGCTAAGAAAAAACCCAAAAGACAGAGCTATTCAATTCCTATTTAGTTTCAATCTTCTCCAACAAAAATAAGAATGTATTCCATCAGGAAGTTGAGAAAAGCACATTGAAGGAACAGGACCAAAACCTGAAATTGATAAAAAGATAATCAAGGAATACTTATTTACTTTGAATGGGTTTAAATCTCCAGAGCTAGATAAACTATACCTAGCTACTCAAGAAACACCTTATTGATAGTCTGGCTGAATAGTTTTTAATCTTTGAGAAATTGTTAAGAATCAGCGAAATGTCAAGCATCTGGAGACAGCAAATGATATCACTGTCTTCAAAAGAGTGGCGGGGGGGAGGGAAGGATACTGCAACAAACTACAGACCTATCAATCTGGCACTGATACTGTACTTGGGAAAATTCTTGATCATTTTGAAAGAATCTTGAAAATGAATCTAATTACCAGAAATCAGCATGGATTTGACAAAAGCAAAGAACAAATTAGTTTATTGGTTCTCTGTTTCTCTCTTTGGTCCCTTCAAGTCAGTATTGACTCCTAGTGACCATCTGGACAAGTCCTGCAGATTTCTTGGCAAAATTTTGGAAGTGGTTTGCCATAGCCCCCTTCCTAGGTTGAGAGAAAGTGACTTGCCCAAGATCCAGGTGGCACTAGAATTGACAGTTTCCCAGTTTCTAGTCTAGTGACTTAAGTATTACTGTATACCAGCTGGCTCTCTATTGGGGTTCTGTACTATTCAATAGCTTCTTTAAAGACTTAGATGAAGGTGGAAAAATCACTTATAAGACTTGCAGATGATCCACAATTATGTGAGATAGCAATCCCTAGAAATAAAATTCAAAACCATTGCTTTAAGTTAGAAAAATTGGCTGAAATGAATGAAATTTAACCAAAAGAAATGCAAAATTTTCATTTAGGAAATAAAATCAAATACACCGATATGTGTGCATTTATATGCGCACATGTGAAAAAGATCTTAGAATAAAATGCATCTGTAAACTGAATATGAAGTAGTAGTGAGATATAACTGCAAAAAAGACAAATACAATTTTAGGTTGCACCAATGAAAGGCTACCATAGTTTCCAAAATATCCAGCAATTCTCAGGCCAAACAAAAGTATTATGTCTCCAGCTTTCAATGCTGCAGAAACAATGGACAAAAAGCCATGAAGTTGAAAAGGCAGATAGAACTGGCCTATTTTTAGTGTTCGCCAATAGGCAATACTGTAAGAGGTTTCATGCAATTCATTTAAGTTTCATGTAAGTAAACCGACTTACTTATCTGTGTCATTACTGAAAGCAGGTTCAAAATATGGGGATGAGTATCTGAAATATTTATGGCCAGGCCTGGTGTCAAGTCTAAGAAATCAAATTAACATAAGTGATAACTACGTAGTAACACTGGTAACAACATGGTAACCTGTCCCAGTCTTTTTCTTCTGTTACATTTAAGATTATAATTTGGAGATCTTAATAGTTATGTATACTCAAGGCATCCTCAAATAAAGCCATAGTGAATGCAGCCTCTGACCTAAATGGTAGTATTGCAGTTCTATACTATCTGCCTTTTTTTTCAAACCAATTTTGTGCAGAATTTTGCTTGTAAACAAATGTATAACATACTATTTTATTCCTTTCTTTTTAAGTAGTTAATGAATTTCTTCTTATTCACTTGCTATTGTATTTCCTAATTATCCTTAATTAACCAGTTCCAGTTCCCACTGAGAATCAGTGGCTAGTGCAAGAATAGGAGAATATATTTTATTACTAGGTTAGATTTGCAATCAAGGAAAAAATATCATATACATAAAACAGAATTTTTATGAATGGACCATGCGCAGTAGTAGACTTGCCCCCCCTCCCCTCTCCCCCACAGGAGATCAGATGGAACAAAATGCCTTTCTGGAGAGAGCTTTGTTGCACACATTAGATTTCCCAAGAGGAATAATGGCATATTTCACATTCACATCATAAATGTATCTTCTCTGAACTGAGTATGAAAAGTGTCATTCCTCGATAGGGGATCAATCCCCAAACTACCTTTTGTGCTGTCTGTACTTCTGTAGTTTAATAAGGTATTGTTTTATCAATAAAAGGATTTTAAAAAGTCTTATTAATAAAATTATTCAGGAAATACATATGGGGTGGGTATAATTGCGTTCAAACATTGTTTCTCAATGCTTGTTGTTTTAACTGTTCCTATACTGTTTGTATCCTATTTAAAATAATGCTTTTAATTTAAAAATAGATTATTTATATGATTGCTATAATGAATCACTATTGAACAATGGGCAAAAATGGCAGCATTGAGTCAGCTTCTTGATCTGCTCAATATATCTCATCATCATCAATTAAAACAGAGTCTAGCAAAGGCCCAGTGCTGAGGCTTAGCTTTTCCTCCCAAATTAGCATATATAGGTTGTCCTCAACTTACAAGTATTTATTTAGTGACTGTTTAAAGTTACAATGGCACTGAATGACCAAATGACTCATAATGACCATTGCAACATCCCCTCCCATGGTCATATGATGAAAATTCAACCACTTGGCAACTGGCATCTATCTATGATGGTACCAGTGGTCTGGGATCATGGGATTGTCATTTGAATCCTTCCCAGCCAGCTTCCTAAAACAGTCAATGGAGGAAGTTGGAGTCACTTAATGACCACATGATTCACTAAGCAACTGTAGTGATTCATTTAACAACCATGGAAAAAAGGTTGTAAAATTGGGCATGACTCACTTAATGCCTTGGTTAGCAACAGATCTTGGCCTCAGTTGTGCTCGTAATTTACGGGGCTATCTGTACAGTTAATCATCATTTAGCTATTGGGACCAACAACTCAGTTGTTAAGCAAAGTGGTTGCTAGTAAAATCACAACCCTGCTTACAATCTTACCTGAGTTTTCTCTTGCTATACAGACCTGCAACAATCGCAAATGCAAGGACTGGTCACAAAGTTACCTTTTCATCATATAACTGCAAGTAATTGTTATAACGGGAAGTAATAGTCATAACTGCAAAGGATTGCTAAATGAATCAGTGACTGAATGGACTACCTGTATTGTTGCGAGGCTAAAAGAAATTGAATGGGGATGATTTTCCCTCTCATATCCCAGTTTTTCTGTCCCTACAGGATGTTGATGATGCTGCTTTAGCCCGGATTGATCTGGAACGCAAAATTGATTCATTGCAGGAGGAGATTATATTCCTAAAGAAAATCCATGATGAGGTACAATAGTCCACTATTGCCATTCTGTGGGTTGTTTTTAACTGAGTATGGAAGGGAAGTTGAAGACTCAGGTTATTGCCTTGCTTGACAATGTTCGTTTTTTTTAAACATTTACAATTAGGCTGGGTTTACGCATTGCACAATGCCATAATTGTTTGGTTTTGTCTTAGCATGTTTGAACCCTGATTACGAAGTATTAATCCACAAATGTGTGAACCAGATCAGTTTTCAATTACAGGAAAATTGGATAGCAGCTTCCCATAACCTGCTATCCTGAAGATGTGCATGTCCAGCCAGCACACCCAAGACCCATGTTGGGTGGAAACTGTGGAATCTGTAATATGGATGGGAAGAGATTGGGAAATATTGCCATACAAAATATAGTGATGCTTTGTTATGTTGTTTGGAAAGCTAGCCTGCTTGTCATAAGATTGATTATTTTACTTTGTGCAAATTGTTTTTAAATTATCTTTTGTTGCTCAACCGTATCTCCCACTCCCATTCTCAGTCAAAAAGAATTCCAGAATGCAGTAGGTTTAACTTCTTTTAGAATGGGGTCACTAGAGTGTTACATTACAGAAATCAATAACATTCATAGTTTACCTTCCAATAGATAGTCTTCATAGTTCCAGCATGGCTCCCTAATTGTTAGTCTCAACCTTCCTCAAAACTAAAAATTGATTATGTTGTGCTATTTTTACAAAGTTATCTGAATTTGTGCATTTAGGAAGAAGAATGAACAATCCAAATGAACAATCTTCTTATTCTTCTGGTTAAGAGCATTTCATCACCTTCAGTTTATTTACAAAAATCTTAGAAAGGATTTTGTGCAAAATATCTTGCTCCCTTTTATTCAGAGTCCTGTATATTCAACACTTCTAGACTAGAAGTATCCTGAGGAGATTATTTAGTTTTGAGGTACATAGTTTTTAATGGGATGAGTTCCACATAGTCTTGTTCTGCAGCATGTGATGTGCAGACACCAAAGAATATTACATGGAGCCAAGAAAAGTATTATCCTCCATTCATATATTTCATAATATTCAATTTCATTTAATATATAGTATGGGAATAAATTAAAAACCAAGCCTTTGGAAGACTGCATGCAACCCCAAATTCTCAAATTGTACACCCCTGATTTAATCCAGTCAGAAGAACCATAATCAGAAAAGGAGATATTTCTTTTACCCACAGATTGTACTTAATTTATTTATATTTGAGCTGCAAAAAAAAAAACAGTTCAAAAAGGCAACTTGGGCTGATCTTGAGAATGCTAAGTGGGGTTGATCCTAATTAGTTTTTAGATCCAAGGCCCAGCCTAAGATTATATTGTGAAATTGAAAAACACCCCAATCCCTTATGTACTGTTGCCAAGATAACTGCATGGATGTCTCCATATAGTCACCAGAAGTTAAAATCAACTCAAGAGAAACATTACTCATTTAAAAAAAAACCCACTCCACTTTGTTTAGCCCTTGGCCAAACATAGCCTTCCAAGCAACTGCCAGTTCATGTTTCTCTGCTTGCTTATGAGCTATAGCTAATTGGTAGCCTTTAAGCCACAAGTGTTTATGAAGTTTCTGAGGTGAAAAAAAAAATCATTTGGTCTCTCAGAATAGGAATCACTGCACTCTGTGATTCTCCGATATGATGGAGAGTGTTAAGAGATTCATCTCTATTTCTAGTTCAAAGGTAGAGGTACAGCCTCACTTATGGAATATACAGGTATGTCAACTGTTCCTTCTAAAGTTTTCCCCTCAAAAAACTATTTTTTTCTTCTAACTTCTTTTATGATGGTCTCTTCAAGCAATGATGTTTCCATCAGGTGCTCTAACATACCACTAGGAGAAAGCTTCCTAAGAAGCTTATACAAGCAGGAAAAATCAAGCCAAGCCATTTTATAGGATTGTGAAATTATTTAGAAAGTGTTAAAACTAACAATAACAACAGTTATAATACTACCAGGGGTTCAACCACAATTAAAATTTTAGTTAAAAAAAGCAATTTTTTAAAAAACTCTATAAAATCAATATGCATTCTACAATCCCAATTAAATTAATACCTATAGAGATAGCATTATCTCTATAGGTATTTAGTAAAGACTAAATAGATTTACTAAATAGATTATGATTGCTTTTGCTGATACTAATTTTTATGAAATCTTATAGCGCTGATTAAATAATGAGCAACCTGAAAAAGAGGAGAGTGGAAGCAAAGAGGTAAGAAATGCTCCATTTTGGTATCCTCAGGAGGATTAGAGTCAGGTAAAGTGTTACCCTTCTCTTCACAGGAAGGAGAGTTCTAATCTACTTTGCTGACAAACATTGGTACTAAATCAGCAACAAACATACACACACAAACACAGTGTTATTTTTCACATGAGCATATGAAATTTTTAGCAATTGATTGTTCCTCTGTATTTAGTTTTTTGGGTGATCAAGAAACTTTAGACATTATCAGCCTATCTCAATAGAACTGTTGGGAAAATCCATGTAGGAAGACCATCACATGCATCATGTATAAATACCCTGAATATCTAGAGAAGTGTGGAATAAAAATATTTTTTAAAATGAGCAAACATGAATACAATTGAACAGTAGATGTATTGAGGGAAACTAATGCTGACATTGCAGACATAACTGGAACAATTCCCCTTAAATTCTGCCCAAGATTTCATTGTGGAAACATTTCAAAGATTGCTCTTTGAAAAACCTTGAATTCTTGAATTCAGTCTTTTAAGAGGACTTCTTTCTTTTTTTGGTTGTTATAGTGTGAAAATAAAATTGACTGGATGGTTAGTTAGAAAGGAAAAAGACAGCCTTATGTTAAAAGTTGGCAATAGGGAATCCCAATAGTCAAGGATGAATTCCAAAAGTCATAGATCTGCCCACATTTTCAGTGCTTTGGGAGGAACAATCAAGGGTCACCACTCACTTTGAGAGACCACCTTCATACAAGCAATTGTAAAATGGTAACGTAAAACTGTTCTGAACTGAAGCACTTGATATTTGGGGAAGGAGAGAGAAAGGGTTCCAGAAAACCAGGTGCCATTGCTGGAAAGGTTGTTTTCTGAATGTATAGAAAATTTGTTACAAATGAAAGCAGGTGCCTTTAATGATTCAGCCATCCCTGTATACCAAAAAAAGAGCACATGCAAAAACCATGTTATCCTTTCCATACCATTTGTTTGAATTTGTATGTGTCTATATTCTCTAGGGTTGCTTCATTTCACTTCAGGAAAACCCAGCCCTGACCCAAGTCTGATTTTATTGGTTTAAAAACTTTTCCATCTCTCTCAGGAACTGCGGGAGCTGCGGGAATATTTGCAGCAGCAACAGGTTCACATTGAGATGGACATGACCAAGCCTGATTTGACATCTGCCCTGCGTGAGATCCGCATCCAGTATGAGTCCATGGCCACAAGCAATATGCAAGAGACTGAAGAATGGTACAAGTCAAAGGTATAGCCACAATATAATGGACAGGAGTAAGAAGAACTATCAGCTAGGGAATGTAGCATAATTAAGGGCTTCTGCTCCAATATCTTCTGGGCAGCATTTCTGATACTAAAAAAAGTGACAGGGCTAATCAAGATGTAGGACATTGACTGGAGTAGGATGGGTAGCAACAAGTTTCTCTTCAGTGTCAGAAATTCAGGCTATCAATGTTATTTACAAAAAAAAATAAAGAGTGCTGCCTATTTAGCAGGCTCTAGGCAGGTTATCTTTCACTTCTTTGCTATATGAGTGAAATTCCTTTGAGGGGAAGATGAATCATATTTACTTTGATTGTAGGAATAAGGACAGGGATATGTGGCTAAAATCAAAGATTCTTTTGTTCTCCTCCAACTGTATCTGTTGTTGTCATTGCCTTCATTATCATTATTTAAAAAGTTGATTTTTGGGGGGGGAAAAAATACAATTTGAAACCCAGTCAACAAAGAGCAGGAGATTAACTGTTTCGTACTACCTGTTATATGAAAATTGCCAGCCTCTGATTTTCCTTTCCTTTGCCCATTTGAATTCAGATTTGGTGTTTCTATTGATAGGGAAGCTAAAGACTCTCTTAATGGCACAGATCCAGGCATAGTTAAATGGTCATCTTCAGGAACTGAGGTGATGAGGGATTGGAAAGGTCAGATAACATTGTTTAAATTTCTGGTTGCAACTTTTGAAAACAACTGACTTGTATCTGATAGTTTGCAGATTTGAGTGACGCCGCAGCACGAAACATTGAGGCACTGCGTCTAGCCAAGCAGGAAGCTAACGAGTACCGCCGACAACTGCAGGCCCTCACTTGTGATCTGGAGTCTTTTAAAGGATCGGTAGGTGGAGCTAATTCTGGAAAAGCCAACAAGTTGAAAACATCTGGCTAGCAGGAGGTTGGCTGGTCCCAACTCATAGTTCCTGGAATAACAGAGTGAGGGTAATTAATAATGTTCTCCTCAGTTACTTCAGATTATGAGATAAAACAGAGTGTTTCTCCACTAACTGAAATCATATATTTGTCCCCCCACACACATACAAACTGCTCCATCAGTGGCCAGTCTACATAACTGCATTAGAGGATGATATGGAACCTCAAAAGCCCTTCCATCAGTTGTGCTGAGAGCAACCAACAGCTATTGATTCCTTCTTTCTCAATAAACATAATGTAGCTTTTACTTTCTTTGTATTCCAAGAATTTCTGTATTTTAATATTTTTATTAGTACAAAGATACCAAAAAAGTATGTGTCTTCATTAGACAAAATTCTAAATATGTGAAATTGCGTTTATTTTTCTCACTCTATTCCTTTTAGACCAATGTTTCTACACATTTGCAACTTTTAAGATGTGTAGACTTCAAATCCCAAAATTCTCAATAGTGGTCATGTTGATTGGGTAATTCTGGAAGTTGGTTACTTTTAGGGACCATAGTGTGATCAACATTGATGTCACTTAGAGTTTCCTGTGAGCTGAAGCCAGGAGACGACTGTTCCTCTGTGCAGATTATAGTAATGGTTGATCATTGCCTTACTGCCTCATCAGGAAACTTTTCTTCCTTGCAGAATGAATCTTTGGAGAGACAACTGAGAGAGATGGAAGACCGCTATGCTCTTGAGACTACCAACTATCATGACACAGTGATTCGATTGGAAGAAGACAGTCGGAATTTAAAAGAGGAAATGGCTCGTCATCTCCAGGAATACCAAGAACTCCTCAATGTCAAGCTGGCATTAGATATTGAGATTGCTACTTACCGCAAACTCTTGGAGGGAGAAGAGGGCAGGTAAAATGCAGATCCATTTCTTGTACTGATTTTGTTGCACAACAACTTTACTAGTGAAATTGCTGAGAATCTTGTCAGTGGTTAGCCTTGCCCACTCAGAAAACTGCAGTCTTCATTTGTAAATTAGCTTTGCTCTAGATACAAAGCAGAGTGAGCTATTAATGTCCTGAAGTTATAGAATAAATTGTACCATATCACACTGGAATCATATTTTAAATTTTCTCCTTATGTTAAGTTCCTGCAATTCCCTCAAGCAAGGAACTGGCAAAAGAAGGAGCTGGCTGAGTTTTTAGGGAAGCACAGGCTATATAACATGTAAAAAAGGAGTGCTCTGTAGCTAACTTTCCTCCATTTTTAAAAAACTATCCCAACAGATTATGGGATCAGCAAGCTGAAAGAAATAATTTAAAGCCCAGGCAAGAGATCAAGGAAATATTTTCCATGCTCTTGAAGCTGGCCAAAGGGACTGAAAAGCCACCCGAGTCTGGGAAGAGCCAAACATTTTTCCTTAGAATAGATAGGCTGAATCTGAAGAGTCAGAGGAAAACTGTCATCTGGCTGAGTTTGCTTGAAATTGCAGCAACTGATACTATGAAAGAAAGGCAATGTCAAAGCCAGAAAGAAATTCAGCCGGGTGGGAAAAGCAGACAGACCTAGGGCTATTCTTATGAAGAAGCTCTGTAGAAGTTAACTAGGACACCAATTAAGACCTATTAAAGAGCCACCAAACAGATCTGACCACCAACTATTCTCCACCCTGTGTGGTACTTTCCTAGAAGAGGAAAGTGAAAGACAGTGAGTCAAGGAGCTCCCATAATTACAGTGAGCACACATCTTTATTATTAGGGACAGTCTTTTATTTCAGAAAGCTGTACTTTAGATAGATGTAATTTAATTACTTTCTGGGTTTTGCTCTTGAATTTTCCTTTGTAAAGGAAAGATATAAACACTTTTAATCATTATGAACTTCTTTCCAATTTGCCCCTTTCAGAGGTTTGTCCTTTATTTTTTTCCCAAGAAAATATGATTCCTGTACTCATGACAGAACCTGCATCATACCCTGGAGGGCCAGATAGGGTCAGGAGGTTAACTTCTAGTGCAGTAGCCCCCAATGTTTTGGACTAGTTCCATGGAGAGAGGCTTTTCTGCAGACCGGAGTGGTTTCATGCACTGCCTGCATCCCGCAGATGGGGCTTTGCTTGTTTCTGCTGCCTGGTTTCTGGCATGATGCAGCCAGTCCACGGACCAGGGATTGGGGACCCCTGTTCTAGTGGATCATAGAAGGACTGTAAAGACCCTTCTCAGTACACGTTGCCTAGTCTTACACCCTTAGAAAGTAGCTTGGAGAAGAATTTAACTACCAACTGGTAGCCAACCTGCTAATTAACTGCCAATTATCTAAGCTGAACCTACAACAATTTCAATCTGTTTTCTACTTGCAGGTGGGTAGGTAGATTAATGGATGGATGAATATATAGTCATATAAATAGATACTAATTTGCATCTACAATTTAAAATTATAATCTATTCTCTCCCTTCAGAGTTCTTCTGGCTCATTGTACTTGTGGAGATCAGGTCTCTTTCCAAAGCTGGGAAGAAGATTATGAAACATCATGAGAGAGATAAAATATATACCTCTGGATTGACTTGCTGTTATTCAGACCCACAGTTTAATATTTTAAAAAGTGATCCAATACAATCAGGTTTGAAACAAGACATGCCCCTGTCCTATTGAAGTATAGTGTATCATATAAATTCAAATTTTCAAATTCACCATGCTAAAATTCTTCATTTCATTCAGGAATGTGTGTGGAAAGCTCCTGACTATTATCCTGGGATCTGGAAAAAAAATGGGTGTTTTGCAATTTCATTTCAGTTTGAGCAACAACTTTGTCAGACTGGTTTGTTTTTTCAGTAGTGTTTCTTTGATCTTATACCTTGTCTAAAACACAATCTGAAATTAACTGATGAACTGGACAGAGATTGGGAAAGAAGGGAAAAACGAAAAGATTAGTACATAATTCCCAAACCAACATTGTTCCTTGTTTAATTCTGCAGGATTACTATCCCAGTACAGACTTTTTCCAACCTTCAGATCCGAGGTGAGATATTCATTCTCCTTCCAGGTCAACATATGTGGTCCCTCCTGCATGAATCAGTACTTTTTTTTTTCTTTCTGAAGAACTAAATGCTTTGTGTTCCTATTTCCTGACCAGTAGGCTAAAGAAAGAGGGTTTTAAGTATGGTAGCTGATTTTCTTTGGAACAAAGAACCATGGCAAAGTGCCTTTTTTATGGAAATATTATTATTATTCTTATTATTTGCAATCCTTTCAGTAACAAAAATTCTCGGATTATAAAATAACTTCAAACAGTAAAGCTCTGGAAACATTAAAAAGAATTCAGTAAATATAAGAAGGATCAAAACAAACAAGCTTGTTTATAAACTTGTTTAATTCCTGCCTAAGTCCAATAATTCTGAAGAGGTTTCACAAACATTGAGATTTTTATTTGAATTTTTTTTTTTAATTCTTCCTTGTTCAAGTCATTAACTAAATCCAGAGTATCCTTTCCCTTCCTCTTGCATCTATAGGGAAGCTATATACTCTTGAATGGCAATTTACTATCTCCTCTTTACAGATGTGAACAAGTTCAGTAATACTGGAATGTTGGATCATCTCAAGACCTTTTGTTGCAGTCCAGCACAGAAACACTATAGGTCCTGACATTCAGTTTAGAACAAGTAGATTGCATTTATTTGTCTGTTTATTTATTTAAATTTATTTGCTGCCTATCTTGGCATAGGCAACTCTTGATAAATCTCTGCTTCTGACTTCCAAGCCAGTCATTTAAAAATTCTTACCCTTGATAATCAACTCCATGAAGCACAGAAGCATTACCATGTTAGATGTTACTTGTTCTTGTGTTGATTTTTTAATACATCTTTCTAAATTACCACATTTTTGTTTAGTCTAATTTAGGAGAAACTGTTTAAAATATTCCAATCTAAAAATTGGATCTATCTTATATCCTTAAATGATTTTTAATGTCTTCTAACATTTAAAATGTCATTATGGATTAGTTATGTCCAACAAAATTAGTTCTGTTTAGTCTATTTGCAGCACTATTTAGCAAAGTTTCTTCCATGTTTCTATGCTAGGTATTAAATGAAACAATATTAGAGAGTGAAAGATAAGATTTTTTTTATCAGAATGGGGTTTTTTCCCATCTCACCGCTCTAAGAAAGTTAGCATTTTCTTTGTCATTACTTCTCTTATGGTTTCATGTTTCAAACCTCACTACAGATCACCAATGACTCCCAAAGTTATGCTCAGTGGTAGTGACCCAGTTGTTCTTTCCCTCTTTACCAGAAACCAGCCTCGACACAAAGTCAGTTTCTGAGGCTCGTCTGAAGAGGAGCATTGTGATCAGAACAGTGGAAGCTAGAGATGGAGAGGTAGGCAATAGCTACCTATGCATTCAAAGCCTTCCATTTTTTTTTAATCATAGAGTTCATCTGATGAAATGTTTCATGAAAAATCTAGTTTGACCTGTTATTTTCAAACATCTGAGCATCCATGAGCATATCTGCTCAGAATCTCCCTAATTATTTTTCATTCCCTTTCAGCTAAGAAATTCTTAATTTACAGATTATTACTCTGTGATGTTTCTTTCTTTCATCTTTTTCTGCCACCAATAGGTAAATGACATTCTTTTTAGTTTTCAAGCTTCTTTATAAAGTGCCAGTAAGATAAATTAATGTTTATCATCCTAACTTGTTGAACCAAATCTTTAAATAGCCAGCATTAAGGGATCAGTTTAGCTCAAAACTGATAAGCATAGTATTGCATCAAGAAAAGGGAAAAGGGCATAGAAATTATGTCGTAAACAGAACTTTGAGATCGCTCAGTAGAGTGCTCAAAAATCTTTATCTCTTTCTCAGGGTAACAAGAACAATTAATTCCCCCAACCTTTTTGAAATGATAACAAATAATATCATTGTAATTACTGCAATGACAGTCTTATTGTTCAGTTTTAAAGATAATAATACTTGTAGCCAGTTCCCATGTTCTCCTGTACTGGGATCCCTTGTTTTTAAAATATTTAAGAGTACTCTGGTATAGTTATTTTCTTGCTATGTCTCCAATTTACCTCAATGAAAATATTGGTAAGATTCCTATCTTATAAATAGGAGTGTGCACAATTAAAAATAATGTTACTTGTTCTAGAACCAATGTATGGCAATATAGGTGATGAGTATGAAAAATGAAATTAGGGGAGAATGGAGAAATAATTCTGTAATTATTATTTTTTAAATGATTTTATTGAAGATTATAATTGTAGTAGTAAAAATTAATGCAAATTAAGTAAGAGTAGAAAGAAAGAAAAATGCAAAGGATCTTCATCACAACAGGTATAAGCAAATTTGATAATTTTTTAACCTCCTTTTAATTTACAACCCACGATTTCTTCATCTCATGTCCCAACTCCTATCTATAAACAGACCAGAAAGTATTAATATTTCAGTTATTGTATCATTAAGTGTTGCCAGAAATAACAACATATCTATTTTATCCTTGGTAAATAAACTGTGACTTCATATTCCTTTCTTTTACTTCTAACAATCTTTAGTTCATATAAGTAATGTAGATGCAAATTTCTTTTTATTTCTTTTTTACCTGTTCTCATCCAAGCTTTAACCAACCTTATATAAAAGGATTATCAATCATTTTCTTTGTTACTTGAAATTCCCTTTTGATTTTTAAAGCATCAACCAGTTTCTTTTGTTTTCCCAATGAAGCATCTTTTTCTATGTCATTCTTATAGCCTGTAATTTGTAGATTCATCTTCAGTGCCAACACACTGTTGTATTGGATAAAACTTGTTTCTCTTCTACCATTTGTTCCAAAACATCTTTTAGACACAGTCTATCCATAGAAGTAAACATCACTACTGATACTGTTGATATTAACTTCAGATTCAATTTGTTAAAAATATCCTTCAGTATTTTCAATGTTATAATATTTTACATCATTCTGTAGCTGTTATTCAGGTTTATTTTTAATTAAAATCTTTAGTTCCCTCTAGTGTCCATTTAAAAAAAATTGATTATCTCTTTTATGTCATTGAAAAAAATTACAACAAATCAACTTTTCCCATAGGACGAATTCTTTATAATTAATTCCTAAAACTTATTTCAAATTATCTGAAAATTTAACCATTTATAACTTTCTAAAATCAAAGTTTTAATTAGCTTTTTGCTGTTTATTTTTTTTTAAAAAAAACATTGTTCTTAAACTTGTAGCTAAAATTTTCTTTCATTAAGGATTGAAGGCAGACTCATCCAGTGTTTTCAGACTTGTCAATCTTCCATTGCTGGAAGGCCTGTGGCAATGGCCTATCTTCATAAGTGTGGAAAAGCCTATGATGCTGTTCTGAAAGTGATAGAAGGGTTGTGCTTGTCTAAAAATGTACCCGAAGATATAGAATAAGGCATTTGAACATGAAGCTTATGGGGGAAAAAATATTAGTTCTTTCAGCTAAGGCCAAATTTCCTCTTCAAAGAGCTTTACAAATTTGTCATTTGTTCAATAGCAAAAAAAAAACAAAAAAAAAACACAGAGCTGAAGGAAGACCAAAGGAAGATTCTTAATCAAGTAAATGGTGATGAGATCTTATCCACCAAGATTCACATTTACTTTTTTAAAAAGCCAAATAAATTCAACAACAATGTAAATAGGCTAAGGGAAATCTTATTAGTCTTTTTTCTTAGCTGGAGTTGAGTAGAATCTCAAGTGCCCTCTTGTGCTTATAAGACAGACTGCAGTTGGTTAAAATCTTTCTTAGCTAAAATGTTCATTTTGCATGTGGTACGTGTCACTTACTATTATCAGGTGACAGGTACTACGTGCTCGTTCTAATGTGTATATTACAAACCATTAGTTAAATTAATACATGAAAGTATTATTACAGTAACAAGTGCTGAGAGCTGGATTAATTGCTTAATTTTTAGTATTATGATAAAAATGAGTGAAAACCAAATGTTTGAAGGGCTGTCATAGAGAGGAGGGTATCAGTTTATTCTCCAAGCATCTGAGGGCAGGATAAGAACAATTGGGTGGAAGCTAGTCAGTGCGAGATTCAACCTAGAACTAAGGAGAAACTTCCTGACAGTGAGAACAATTACTCAATGGAACAATTTGCCTCCCAGAGTTGTGGATGTTCTGTCACTGATGGAGACTGCACAACCATTTGTCTGGGATGGAATAATTAGAAGATTTCTGAGATCATAGATTCTATGATTCTATATTTTAAACTCTATTTAATCTAGAATTGGTAGAGAACTATGGCGTTTTGATTTTTTTTTAAAGAATGCAAAATGAAGCATGTCTGGACAAAATGAAGAGAAATGTCGCAATTAACACCAACTGATATAACTTTCACATTCTCTCTAAACATTGTAGGTGATCAAGGAGTCCACCCAAGAACAGAAGGAAGTGGCATGAAGTAAAAACCAGTACATGGAAGAATTTTTCTAGGGTAGGATGCTAAGAGAGCTTTGCATCCTTCCAGTCTTCAATCTTGGCACAGAAACAGTTTTGGATCTGCAGCAACCATTGAAAATAAGAAATATGCAAATTTAATTACCATGCCAGAAAATAACCAAATAACTCAGTAGCTGATGCTTCAGCTGACTATAATGGCTTTTTTGAGTTTATTTTTATCTTCAATATTTCTCTTGCAGTGACCTTTGGAGTGTCCCAAATAGCACAGTATTTAGACCTGGCTATACAGGTAGTCCTCAACTTACAACAGTTCACTTAATGACCGTTCAAAGTTACAACGGCACTGAAAAAAGTGAGTTATGACTGTTTTTCACACTTACCACCATTACAGCATCCCCATAGTCATGTGATCAAAAATTAGACACTTGGCAACTGACTCACATTTATGATTGTTGCAATGTCCCAGGGTCATGTGACCTTCAGACCAACAAAGTCAATGGGGAAGCCAGATTCACTTAACAAACATCTTATTAATTTAAGAACTGCCATGATTCACTTAACAAATGTGGCAAGTAAAATGTGGCAAAATTCACTTAACAAATGTCTCACTTAGCAACAGAAAGTTTGGGCTCAATTGTGGTCATAAATCAAGGACTACCTGTATTTTGCTAAATAATTGTTCTGGGCTGGCTTAAGAGCCATAACTTGATGTTTCTCATTAGAACCAATAAATGAATAGGAATCATGTTACTGTTGATTACATAAAAGTGCTGGTTATGTTTACATGTGAAAATCATTGACCTAAGAGAGTGTAATTTAGAAGTAAGCTTCTTTCCTGAAGATGTGTGTCACAGATTGTAAAGCTTAGATCTATTATTTCTTAGTAATGAAATCAAATAGATTACTTGGGGACAAAGGAACTGATGCATGAGGCACACCCACCTTGGTTTTTGTGTTGGGATTACTCTCATTTTCTGGCAAAACATGATTTTAAGAAATGTATAACAGACTGAAATTTGCGGGCAAAATATCTTACTTTGAGTTTACAATGAAAATAATTCATGAGGAAGTTTTAGCTATGTACCGTATGTTAAAGTCATAGGTTCTTTTCTAGGGAAAATATGCAAAGATTACCAAGGGCTTCCTGTACCTTTGCAAGAGGGAACCATGGTCAACAGGAGGCGAGTTTTATTTTAAAAAAATAATTCCGTTTGTGGTTTGCTTACTTCAGATAATATAGAATTTATTTATTTGTTATTATTACCTGTTGCCATTCTTCCAAGAGCACAAGGCAATTTACAACAGAAGCACCTTTCTCTTTTAAAATTATCACTCATGAATAAGTGATTAATATTTTTAGTTATTTACATCCATTAATCTTGTATTTTTCCCTCATAGCAATTCATTTTGTTCACCTTTTACTGCCATGTATTTTGGAAAAAATTCCAGTAAAACCTAGGTAGTGGCTGAAATTTGATTCCTATAGTATGTATGCCTTCTGTCTATTATCCTGTGTGCTGATTTATTGGTTATGATAGATAGCAGTTTTCCAAATAGATGAATGTGTTCCATGTTTCACTTATGTATGGAAATGGCTGAACGTACATGGTGAACATGTAGAGGTCTCAAACTCTTTCTCCTAGAAGGCCTATTAGTCTACATGTCTTAGTTCAACTTCCCTCTTTGAAGTAGTGCTTGGTAGTGGAAAAAATAAGAGGAAAAAATGAGGGGGAAAATGAAATGTGTCTGTAGCACTAAAGCATGCAGTTAAGGGCTAAGTCCTTCTTCCTTTTCCTCTTTGAGAGATAGATCAATCTCACAAGAGAGAAATAAAATAAATTTTTATTTTTTAAAAAAGGGGGGAAATATAAAAATACTATTTCAGTTTTAAGAAATCCCATGCAAAAATAAGTGAAAGGGGAGATAAAAATATAGAATTGTTCAAATCACAGATCATGACTTTAAAAAATTTCCCATAGGAAAAAAAAAGGGGGGGATATATGGCTATGTGTAGATCAAAAGATATTGTTTGTCTACTCCTGTTTTAGAGACTACTTTGCTATAAAGCGATTCCAAGCTGTATAATACAACACTGATCTTATACAAAGAAAATAAATACCCCCCCCCAAATTAGGCTTTGGCTCAGATAAGACTATAATATAAAATTTCTAGACAAAAAATTACCGTACCTATTATTTCAATGTTTACAATTTCCCTTTGTTTTAATTGTTCCTCGATTTCCCTCCACTCAGTTAATTTTGAAATTGCCAGGGAAATGGAATGAGTTCCGTTTCTTTTCTTAGTCTTGGTTCTCAATCACTTGCTTCCCTGATCCTTGGAGTTCTCCAGGAGAGACAAAACTGGAGGTACGAACCCGTTGAACAAAAAGCATCTCTCCTGTGAATGTTCATGTGGGTTTAAATCCAGATGCTGGCAGACAGTAAATGTAAAATGTAATTACCTTCCCATTAGCTCCAACTGATAGACCATGTTTATTTTAAGGAATTAAGATATTATATGACCCTAACCCTGACCCTAACCATTATTTTATCCAAGCAATCTTGTGCTGTAGATTAGGTTGAAAAATACTGACCAGCTAAGAATTTGTAACTGTATCTCCTGCATTAAAACTTCACTGAACATTGATTTCTTATAGCTTTTAGTACCTTCTGAATTGATGAGCCTGTGATTTATATTCAGCAAATTGTATGTGTTATGATCCAAGTAAAAAGAGGACATAGTTGCATTCTTCTGAGTGCTACCAGCCATTTGACTTTAGGCGGATAGTGTGCAGTGGATGAGGAGAAGAAGTGATGGGGGGAAAAAATCAGAAGACAAAGTGGCAGAAGAGAGGAAGATAGAGGAGGAAAGGTTAGGTGTTCATGAAGGACAGTGACAAGTCTGAAGAAATCAAAAAAATTAAAATTGATATGATTGATTTCAAATATTGAAGCAATTGCTCTAAATCAGGGTTAGGCAACCTATGGCACTTTGAAAGTTACTGAATGACAATTTCCAGTTTCCCTAAGAATTCTGGCTAATGCCTGCCCTAGTCATAAATGACAGTCCACTCTGTGCTGAAGGCTCAGAGGGTTATTCTTTATCATTGCTTCAGCTTAAAGCAAAACAGAATTCAGTTGCAGAGCAGAAAAGATACAAGTAAGCCAGTAACAGAAGTTAGGATTTCCCAATGTGTTGACTAGGAAAGGAAGAAGGCACCAACTCTTTCTCAGAGCATGCCTGTAAGAAGCATTGAGGCAATTCTTTTTTTTTTAACTAAATGAACACATTTTGAGGGGACAGGATTTTGAAGAGTGACTGGGTTTTCCCACCCATTATATCAGCCATAATTTCAAGCATAATTTTAAGATATCAGCCTGCTTAATGAAATAACACATAGATCTAGGGACATAAATTTCTTAAATGACCAGTTTAGATGGCCGTATGAACACTGTCACTTATCTATTGTTGTTATACAAATGCTACTAATTGCATTTTTCACTTTTGACACCCTGGATTGCATGCACTTATGCATGGACTACATGACTTGTTGTTGTTATTTTTAATGGTACTTTGGAAAAGAATACTGAATGAAGTTTATGCTTAACCTCTTCTTTTCCTCCTATGTTTAAATTAGTAGCTCTGACTATGGAAGAAATTGCATAACTTTTATTTTTCTTTTAAAAAATAAAACTAGGGAATATGGTGAAACTCATCATTTTTCACCAAAAAGAGTTACACGCAACTCATCTATTTTCCAGTAAAATTAGCTGTACTAACACTACCATATATACATTATTAAACTTTATGACTATTTAATATTTTGGATATGTTCCTTTTAGAATCAGTATACCAAAATACTTCATAAGTTTCATGCTCTGCTTTATATGCTATCCACATGAACATGCTTGCATATTTATAGTAATAGATGAATTTCTAATTATAGTTTTACAGAAGATTATATGTAAATGCTTAACAGAAACTAAATGTATGAGACTATAGCAATGTCATTGTTTAAAATTGCAAACGTTTATTATTATATTTCTTTTACAATTAAACATTACATCAAAAAATTGCTTTAGTTTTTCACTGCTTATTCTGTTTCTTTATTTGATATTCTCCAAAGAATTCTCATAGTGGCTTACCAAGAAACAAAAACAATTATAAAAACATGTACATAAACAAAATACATGTTTCTCTTAAGATAAAAGATGCACAAAATCAATTGCTTGTTTTTACATGAATTAAACTGGGTAAGAAATGAATTACCCATTTACTTTCGACTGTCAACAGAGTAATTGCTCTAGGTGTGACTGCTACAGATTTGTGATATATTGTTCAGGTATATTTCAACCTGTACTAGTTCAGCAACAGGAATCTCAGACTGAAAATGCTCAGTTAACTATTTTTCTGGATTTTTCACAATACATATGTATTTTAAATTAGTTTACCAGTTGGGGTATTATTAAGGCAGAGAATTGTACAGTAAAAAAACTTTCATATAGCCATATTTAATGAAAACATATTAGTGTCCCTGCCTTCTGTTAACAGTTGCCTATTCATTGTATATTAGCTCTCATATTTAAGAGAGCTGATTGACTAAAATTTATCTTCAATGAGAATTATACAAACTAAAATACTTAATTGATAAAGAAACAGTTACTCAATTAATTATCAAATTAGTTGTGAGACAAAGCATCATCATCACTTATTAGGCCATTATAGTCATTTTCTTGAGATGCTATTCCATATCTGTACATTTAAACACATAGAGGCAACAGCGAACAATGTGAATGATGATAAAGAAGATAGTAATGAGCACATAGCTTGTGATAATAGCCTTAATAGCATACTGACTTTCAGGATCATAAAAGCTTCGTCTGTGGCGACTTTCATATACTACAGATAGCCGGAATCCAGCAACTATTTCTCCTTCTCGCCAGCAGTAATAAATACCTTTGTCATTCTTCTGGGTAAAACGAATGTGGAGGTGATTTCCATGGTCAATGAAGACCCTCATGGTCTTGTTAACCCCAGTGAGAAACCTACTGAGATATAATCGTGTTGAATCTTTATCCCAGGCAACAGCATGCTCTGGCCTAGCACCAGGGCAGGTAATGATCAATCCTCTGCCAAGGGACTGCTTGTGAAATTGAATAGGGATGTTGGAAACCCAAGGTTTTTCTCCAAGCTTTGAGATAATATTTGAAATGGGTGCTTCTCCTTCATTTGAAGGTGTCTTCCCCTTACAAGATACCATGCAACTTCGTATTACAACTTCAGGCTTTCTCATCTGAATACCATAAAATAAATTCTTTGGGATTGACTTTGAGCCACAAGATGCCACCTCTTCTATAGTGGTATGGTACCGCCTAAATAGAGAAGAACTCTTTACATAGCAAAGCCCAATTCTCCGTTGTTCACCCCTGACATCACAGCGGTTGCATTTAGTCCAGTCCCAGAAAATCGTGAGGACCGTGAAATTTGTTTCATGGAGGTCATTCTGTGGATGCTGTCCCTCATCTGCAAAGGCAACAGCTATTCTCCTTGAAGGCTGTACATCTATATCATAACCATAGAAGAAATCCCCTTTCTTTGTACCACAGATATAATGCCCTGAATCTTCCACTTGAATCCGGAAGACAATGAGACTGAACATCCTAATGCTGAAACGACGAAGCATGTCACTGCCTGCCTTGATGTGGCGTGAATCTACTATCAAAGTGCCATCAAAATCTGTCAAAACCTTAGTTTGCTGACTGCCTATGCTTTTTTGAAAGTACCAAACTACAGCAGTTATTTCCTCTGGCTTACACTTACAGGGTAATTCAAAACTCATATCAGCCAAGTAAGCAGCATTCTCAAACATCAAGAAAGCTGGGCAAGGATACTTTTTGAACACATCTTCTTTTTCCATAATAGCAAAGGCATGAAGAACATCAGCAATGCCAAAGACCATAGCTATTACATAGCAACACATCCTGCTGACACCATTTGATAGCTGTTCATATATTACCCAACAGTTTCCATGTTCTATAGGAGAGGCTAACTACTAATTCTGGAGTTTACATTTTAACAATGCACATCAATGAAGAGAGCCTTCATTCTAGAATTGCTGGTGTTGTTCCAATTCTTTCAGAGAGGACTTTTTAACAATGTGTATCATATGTGTATATTATCCTTTCATAAGAAATAAAGACTCTGGAATTACTTCTGTGAGTTCTAGAATGCCAACTAAATTCTGATATGGACAAATCTAAGCCCTTGAAAACCGTTATGACTGATTGTATAAATGAAGTTGCCTCATAATCAGAAAACCTAGGATCACATTCTGTTCTGATGGTAAGAGATTTTCAGACTGTACTGCCATTTCTGTAGCATAATTACTGCAATGTAAGTTATTTCCTGACATCTTAATACAAAACAAAATCAGTTATGTAATTCTTTAAATGAATTTAATGCAGTTGAAGAACAAAAAGCATTTTCCCATTTGCACCTAATGTAACTACAATATTAACACACCCGATAACCTGTATGGTTTTTGTGTTTTGTCAGGTATTCATGACTAATATTCATCTTATTCCCATCCTATCAGCCTATGACTGAAAGGATGTCATAAGGCATCCTTCGATTTACTATTGTAATGTTAAAGACTGCATCCATTATGCTGAAAGCGATGGTGGATGGGATCAGAGCTGCTGATTGGCATTTCAGGCTGATATGAGCATGCGCTTTCCCCTTCAAGTTTCCCAGAACTGATCATCTGACATAATTGCATAATAGTCTTAGACTGCTCAATCATCGTTTCATTAACTGCTTCATTTCACCAAGGTTTAATCTAACATCTAAAATATTTTTTGGGAAGAAGACTCAAACAGAGATTCTTTCCTTCCATCTGTCTACCCTCCCTATTATTTGTGGTTTTTTTACTACTATAGTATACCCTAAATAGAACTTCATAACATATCAAGTTATATAGTTAAGTATTAATCACAATTAAGATGAATTAGACCAGTTGTGATGTAGATAGCCATTTGATGGCTGAAACTTATACAATGTCTTTTGTGGAACACCAAGGGATCTAGAGATTGGGACAATGATACAAGTGAATCTGGTAGAATCATGTGGTTATTGCTTTGAGTGTGAGTGTTATAATTTGAATTGGACCAAAACCTGGCTAAGTAACTCTGAGGAAAGTCCAAGGAACTTCTGAACTAGATTAAAATATATATATATGCACTTTGGCATAATATAATACTCCTCTTACAGCTCATTTGGTTATGTTCAAATGATAATGCTAAGCCCCCAAATCTGATCTTCTTGACTGAAGCATATATGTGGTGTTATGCTGTTTTCTCCTACTTTCACATTAATATCTTTTTATAATGCCGTTTCTACCTCAGTGTGCCCAAGATGATACAAGGCCAAACAATTTGACCACTTAATAATAGCAAATTTCTTGATAATGCATAGTCTGCATATTGATCTTTAATAAAATAACAAAGATGAATGAAAATGAAGAGCTATAGGCACTCTCAGCTTGCTACGGCCTCTCAGGTATATGTGACATTTCTGATGGGAAGGATGAAAGAGAATACATAGAGTAAAGATTAAGTACTGTGTAGGTTCTAGATCAGTGGTTCTCAACCTTCCTAATGCCACGACCCTTTAATACAGTTCCTCATGTTGTGGTGACCCCCAACCATAAAATTATTCCTAAAACCATTGAAAATATGTGTTTTCCGATGGTCTTAGGCGACCCCTGTGAAAGGGTCATTCAACCCCCAAAGGGGTCGCGACCCCCAGGTTGAGAACCACTGTTCTAGGTATAAGACAGTTCCATCTGATAACATGATCCAAAACAACTTCTTTAAATTTCTTCTCAAATGTTTTATTGTAGAGCTGGAAATAACAGAGTTTTTAAAATTTTTCTCTATCAAGACTAAGTTAGTTGATATTCCAACTAATATACAGTGGTATCAAGTTAATATTAGCCTGGAAATGCAATACTATTTTTGTTACAACAGAATGTGTGAATATATTGCAGATACTCAAAAGCTTGCTTCCAAACTGTTAACTGGATTATGGCTATGGTGAGTACCTAGAAATAGAGCAGACAGCAATCTATCATACCTGGTCACTGATACTGTGTAGTTGTAAAGAATAAAATGCATTCTCTCAAACTGTCTTAATAAAATTGTATTTATGTTTAATTCTTGCTTTTATGTTCTTCAATCTGAATTAAAAGTTCTTCTCTTTGGTTTCAGCTGAGTTGCTTGCTATGCTTATCTATTAATCAAAAAACCCTCTATCTAAATATGCTCAAAGAGCCCAGCTCCAAGTTGTCAGTAGTGCCTTTGATACTTCAAGGACTAAGCCTTCTAACTAAAGCAGAAGATCAATCAAGATATGTTATAAGAAATATGACAAAAGTACTCCAAAAATAAATAATGCATACTTTTAAACTGATAATCGTTTAAGTTGATATAATATTTTAATGCAATAGAGACAAAAAACAAGAGGCGAGCATTCTCTGATTAGGTATCTATTTTTCATATGCTTTTATTTTTCCAATATATACTAAAAAGGCTGATAGATATGTTTTTAACAGGCACTCTAGTCCTTTCTTTATATTACAATGTTTCCATCCTTAGTTATTAGTATAAACTCAAGAATTGATCAAAGATATTTGGTAAAGGCTCATCAGTTTTAACACTTTTTTTTCAATTCCTTTACCTCCTTGACAATGGATTTGAGTAGCATCTGTACCATCTTCATTTGGAATCTGATGAATTTCAGAAAAATGGCCAAAGTCAGTTTCTATTTTTTGCAATTTTTCAAACAACTGCCTGCAGTTTTCTTTCTCTTTCTCACTAAGAAGTTCAATGTTTAGTCCAAAACGTTTGGTGCCTGATAAATTCTCCAAGATATCCAAGATAAAATTGCAGTCTTTAATGCAAGCATTTTGGTTCAACACAACTAGAAATTCACCTAAGAGGCCAAAAGCAAGATCAGTTTGGAAGATCCGGCCCAAGTTTTGGGATCCAAGTTGGAGGAGGAGGAGATAGCGATCCTGATTGTTTTTCATACATCTGCGCCAATCTCTGTAGAACTCTGCAGAAGTCTCAGGCAGGCGATCTAATTCCTAGAAAGTTTTTTAAAATGACATAGTCCTATTGCCTAGGTATTATTGTACTTTCCAACTCTACAATTAATAACTTCTTCATTTTTTAAGTATCAATTAATGTTTTATGGAAACTGAAATTTAAACAGGGCTGCTAGAAACAGATTTTTAAAAACAAAAAATGGCACAATATATTAATTAATGATGAGCAATCAGAAGTAGAAGAGATCAAAAAGGAGAAAAGCAGAATACAAAAGCATCATCTCTTTAAAAATATATGCTCTCGCCGTACTGTATATTTTTGGGTTTAATTCTTCAACAAAACAGTAAAAACTAGAAAGATGGATAGGATGGGTAGGATAGAATAGAATAGGACAGGACAGGACAGAATAAGATAGGATAATAATAATTCCATAGTATTGTTAGATTTATTCAAATATTGAAAAAAAATCTTCTAGTTTAGTTTAGTTCCTAAATTAAATAAAAAAATAAAATTACATATAAAGAATTACTAAACGTGAAAGGGGAATTAAAATCAAGGAATAAATTAAAGGAAGAAGGAATTGAATTAGAATGGTGGATATACCTATAAATACAATCCAAATTTATGAAGGATAAAAAAGAGTGAGATATAAAATTAGAACCATCAAAACTGGATAAAATTTTACTAAGCACAGAGGGAAAGGCCATAAAAAACTTGTACCATTATTTATTAGAACAAGATATGCTCGAAGAACAAGTTAAGGAGACGATGATAACTTGGAATAGATGTTTTGGGTACAGTATCAATTTGGACAATTGGCAAAATTTGTGGGGAAAAAATATCAGAATCACACTGGTGGCTTCTTATAAAGAAAACCTGCATAAAATGTTGTACAAGTGGCACTTCCCACCCACAAGATTGGCAAGAATTAGTAAAAAATACTCCCCAATTTGTTGGAAATGTGAGGTAGGGTCATATTACCATATGTGGTGGAAGTGCTCAAAAGCCAAATGTTTCTGGCAGCAAATAAGGAGCTGGTTAGAAGAGACGTTAATGTTTAAAATAGAAGTTAAGCCGGAATTTTTTTTACTGGGCATGACAGATGGCAAATATGACAATAATGTAACCTATTTAATATTGCATATACTTACTGCGGCAAGACTAGCATTTGCTCAAAAATGGAAGTGTAAAGAAATACCCTCAGAAGAAGAAGTAATACACAAAATTTACAGCTGTGCAGAGATGGACAGACTCACTTTAGAACTCAAAGACAAAAGTAAATCAACATACTATGAAGTCTGGAATAAATTTTATAATTGGTTAGATAAGAGGAAGAATGCCAAAAACAAGGGATAACGAATTTCTGGAAATGTATATATCAATATATATCAATATATCAATGTATACTGAATTTGTGAATGTAATATAGGTTTATTAAATATATGCATGGTGGTTTAGGAAGTAAAATACTGCATACTTGATATATAAGGAGATACGTAAATTTGTATATAGATCAAGGAATAGATTACTTATTAACTTGATTTAGACACAAATATTAGAAACCAGAGAAATTGAACAATGTCCATTGTATTACTTTTAAAACTAATAAGATATTTAAAAATAAAAAAAACAGATTTAATTTAAAAAAATATTTGGAGAAACATTTCAACTCATAGACAGAATTACTCTTACCTGAGGCAAGTCTATCTTACTCTCTTGTTTGTGATTTGTTTTAACTGCACAGGTGTTCCACAACACATTTCTGCCACTTCCCATTTTGTCCTTTTTCTCCAGAGGTTTCAAATGGGAGGCTAGAACAATATCTCTGCAGACAGAATGGAGGAAGATTCTAGAGACATTTCAGATAACCATTTTAGTAACAGCAACTTGGTTTAAAGCTATTAAATTCTCATTTCATCTAATTATTAAAGAAATAGGAAAGTTATATCATACATCTTGCCTGGTCTCTTAACTGTTAATTTATGGGAAAGGCCACTCTACCATATAAAACTCTGGATAACTTAAAATCAGGGGCGGGTTCCAAATCCCATTACTACCGGTTCACTACCAGTTCGCGTATGCAGAAGCATCCGGGTGGGTGGGCAGAGCCTCCTGCCGCCGCTACTGATTCACCCGATCCAGTGAGAACCGGTAGCAACCAACCACTGCTTAAAATATACAATATGCAATACACAATAGACATTGTAACATGTAGGAGAAAAAATGCAGTAAAGAGGACACCTCTGCTTCTTCAATTTTAACTGGTGACTCTAGCCTTTGTGTTATGTACTCAAATTGATGCTTCTTTGCCTGAGATATTATGCAAAATAGTAGAAGGCAGAGTGATTTAATTGTTAACTTATTTGGCTCTCTTCTCTCAGGTATGCAGAAATTAAAATCAAAGGTAATGGAAGCTGTACTATGTTGCTAACACATATCACAGAAATGAATGTTTTCCAGTGTTGTAGTACATTTCCTGCACAAGATAAAAGTACTGGACAAGAAAGTCTCCTAGATTGCTTTCTAATGTCTAAATTCCATGATTAATATTTAAGTTACTATTCAGTGTGTAAATATATCATCCAACCTTCTATATGCAATGAAATAAAATTAAAGAACTACTAATGTTATGAGACAATTATTACTCTCCAGTTTTCTCAGCACCAATAGAACAGAGGAAGGCAACTCAAAAAAATCACTGTCAGTATGAAAATAAACCACAATAAATAAATATTATGCTTTCATCCAGAAAAGTTCAGGTTCTAAAAATAACCAGACTTACAAAACTTATATGTATTATTAATTTAATTATTATATGCTCAATAAGTTTGCTAAATTCAAAGGAAATTGCCTTCATAAATAAATATTTTTATCCATATTCTGCATCAAATCAATAAAGGAATCTGAAAATCAAGAAACCTGAATTCTTCATAAGATGATACTTTCTGATGTACTGCTCGGAATTTAGCATCATTTTCTCTCTGGTATTTCTCATCTGTGGCAATAGCTTCTTCCAGCTCTTTCTCCAAAGCATGGAAATCAATCATGCCTTCCACTTTGGGAACCTAAGAACAACACAGCTGACCAATAAATTAGATATTTAATTTGAAAAGCTAGATTTCTCTTTCAAACACTTTCATAATAGAAAACTATCAGCTTCTTATGATTATCCTAAACACATTATTTTGTCCAATTTTTGCTAAATGATAAAATATTTGAAATACATAGCCTTCAATTTCCATTAGTATAGACTACTGAAGACTTTGTAATACTCATTTTATTTACAAATATAGTAGTAAACAGAATAAAACAGTAGCCATTTGCACTGAGCTACTTTATTTTTAATCAGATCACAACTTAAACTCTCAGTATCTGGAATCAGCCATCCAAGTCAATCATGTCTTGTTTAATCACTATTCAGTGAATAAATATAAGCTAAATCAATACTGAAAATCCTCTTCGTTGTTTAGCATGATACATGATTCATCTGATGCCTGCTGCCTGTTCGGATTTTAAAAACTGGCTCCATACTGGTTTTTTGGTACTGTTTTTCTAGCTGTGAAAAGTATCATTCTCCAACATGGTAATGTGAAAATAAATGAAACAAATTGTTGCAGGGATTGCATTTTATTTTCTCTAATATATGTAATACAACCCCCATCCTCATCATTCTGTGATTAGTGAATTTATTCAATAAATTCAGTAAAAATAGACTGACAGATATAATTTATTAGAGTCAATTCAACCACTTAAATCCTTGCAAGTAGATTCTAATTAACTCTCTAACAAGCATTTTGGTTTTAGGAAAAATTTGTCCTGTAATCTACAACTCCTACACTGCAGAAACATTTGGACTACACAACTCAACCAGGGTAAAGCAATAGACACAATTTACATAGACTTCTGCAAAGTTCAATGGTACACAACAAACTACTGTTAAAACTACGCTCTTACGGCATTTCCAGATCACTGCATAAATGGATAGCTGCATTCCTGTCAAACAGGCAACAAGTAGTCAAAATAAGGAGTACCCTATCAAACCCTGCACCAATTAGCAGTGTCCCCCAAGGCAGCGTTCTAGGACCCACTCTCTTTCTAATTTATATAATTGACCTTTCTAATCATATTATAAACTGCGTCCTCTTTGCTGATGACATAAAACTATTTAACACCAGCAACAATACTGCTGCCCTACAAAGTGACCTTGACTGTGTCAGAATGGTCGAACAATTGGTAGGAGTACTCATTTCAAAAGATCTAAGCCCCAGAGCTCACTGTAACAGTATTGCCAAAAAGACATTAAGAGTTGTTAACCTCGCCCAAAATTGGAAGGGGAAAGACCTACCATCTGAAGACTTGATCTTAGGGGAAATTATTGAATATTCAGAAGCCGATAGGCTAACAAAAATTTTGAGAGATCAAAAAGAATCCGCATATTTGAGAGAGTCCAGAGGTATTTCACGAGAAGAGTACTCCGCTCCTCTGCTCGCAATAGAATACCTTGTGCCACCAGGCTTGAAATTATAACAGTGATGGCTAACCTTTTTGTCATTGCGTGTCAAAAGCTGGGGGAGTGTGGGGTGGTTGCGCGCGTGCGTGCCCACATCCATAATTCTATGCACCCTGCCCCCCATGCATGTGTGCGCAACCCCTCCTGCTCCCCCTGCTTTTGGCATGTGATGGCACGGTGGGCCCAATAGGTCCGTTTTTTGCCCTCCCCAGGCTCCAGAGGCTTTCTAGGAGCCTGGGGAGGGCAAAAACAGTCTTCCCCACCTCCCCGGAGGCCCTCCAGAAGCCAGAAACAGCCCATTTGCCAACTGCCGTTGGGCCCAAAAGGCCCAAAAATCAGCTGGCCAGCGCATGCATGCGTGCTGGAGCTGAGCTAGGGCAACACTCTTGTGCCTACCAATATGGCTCTGCGTGCCACCTGTGGCACGCGTGCCATAGGTTCGCCATCACGGACCTATAACTACCCCATCTACAGTCTGACCTAAGTTTAGTACAGAAAATTGTCTGTTACAACGTCCTACCTGTCAATGACTACTTCAACTTCAACTGCAATAATACATGGGCAAACAATACCCATAGATAAAAACTCAAAGTAAATCGCTCCAAACTCAATTGCAGAAAATACGACTTCAGCAACAGAGTGGTCAATGCCTGATGCTGTTGTTATATCCTTCAAAGCCCCAAAACTTTAACCTTAAAACTGTCCACTGTGGACCTCACTCCATTCCTAAGAGGTCCGTAAAGGGGGCGTGCATATGCGCACCAGCGTGCCTACTGTCCTTATCCTACTGTTCCCATTTATCCATACTCATTTCTTGTGTTTATACTTATACCAGTTTATATGTTATGTTTATATGTTATGTTTATACTTGTTTTATCATACATGCTTGACAAACTAAATAAATAAATATTAATAATAATAATAAAAATATAAAGAATTTGCTATTGAATGCTCCCTTCTTGTGGGTCATTTTTTCCCCCAACTTCCAATCAAGCCTATAGCCCTGGACTTTGCCTGGATCGGGCACTGACGGAAACGAAGTACATCAATATGAAATAGTAAGCAGACAAGCAAGAACATAATCAGCAACTCTCCCAGAAAATAGTAAACAAGTCAGCCCGAATTAATACTCTTTTGGCCACTCCATATTCAGTGGCAACGGATTTTACAGGTTTATGTTTTACTTTACTATCCCATGCATACCCATCACCCCAAAAACTGCTCTCGATTTCTCTCGCTAGCCTGGCCGTTACCAGATAGGAGGAAGGGAAGGTTTTTCCACGTTTGTGGAAACGTAGTTCGATTCCCCCCCACGCTTCGCCTACGCCTCCACTTTCAATAGCGATTCAGCGTCGATTCGGTTTCCATAGCAATTGGAAAACGAAATGGCGAGAGGGACCTATAGCGATCGGGGCAGTCTATAATAAACGCCTGATCACAGTCCATGCTTATGAAAAATTCCAATTTTGCTGAGACGGCCCGAAAAGAATCGAAATCGAATCTCTAAGCCCCTCTCACTCTCCAGCATCAAACAGAGGGGGAAAATGTGGAAAATCAATCAGGCTGCTAAATGGACAACTTTATCCGGAGGAAATTGAAGGGACTTTTTGGGCCACGGTCGCATTGTGCGCCGGCAAAGGGAAACGTCTCGAGCGACGCGCGCTTCCCGAGAAGGAGAACAAAAAAAAAGGTAAGCGCACGCGTGCGTTACTGTTACTGTTTCTTGTAAAACCTTACGATGTACAAAAAATGCTTATTTTTAAAACCAATAAACGGCCGTTAGGTTGCAAAATATCTTTCAGTAGTAAGCGCTTTATACTTTGAACGAACGTGCTGGAATTCGAATAAGTGGATGATATGGCAACGGGTTGAGACTTTGGGAGAAGGGTACCCATGGGAGCTAATGGGAAGATAGATTTGCCCTTTCAAATGGTAGAGAATAAATGTCTACACATCTTAAACAATATTTTATTGAAACATCTTTATTAATTGCAGTATGAAAGAGATTAATACATACATAATCGTCCTCTGAAGTAAAAAGGACTCAAAAGTAAAACCATACGCTTGCATTCAGATAGACTAGGTTTGTGGAAAATAAAGCTACAGTTACAAGATACATTTCTGATAAGATGCTATTTTTTGTTGCTTTTTCTTTTTTTAACCTGTAACAGAAAGCTATTATATTCTAAAACTGGAAGTTTCTGGAAAACCACTATTGAATTAGAACAACTGATTCTAATTATTCTTATTCTGGATAAGATGAGTGATGTGATATGAGGGCAATTGTGGCTAAAAAAGAGTTGGAGAAGTTATACCTGATAATTAAAACTAGGGAGAATCATGGAAGGTTGATGAATAAAAAACAGCTCTTGGATTAATACTGGCAGAAAGCTAATGAATTGGTAGTTTATAGTGTGAAGCTGAAAATAAAATGTGAAACTAAAAACAAAGAATAAGCTGTTTAGAGTAGTATTAAATAGTGATAAAGTATCAAGCTTGCAATAAAACTAAGGAGTTAAGATAATAAAAATTGAAAAGTATCCCAATATGAATCTTGCAAACAGGGGTAAGGCACATTAAATAACTAGCAAAGCAATCAAATATTAAAGTGATATTTTCAGAATACAAACTAGCTCTATTTTAATTATTTATTTTTATATTCAAGACCCAGCAACATGGATACAGACCTATATGATGAATTTGGAAATTATATTGGTCCAGAGCTTGATTCTGATGATGATGATGATGAAATGGGTCGTGAGTCAAAAGATCTTGATGAGGTACTGATTTCATGTTTGTGCTACAGACAGTATTCATGCTTTAGTTTTTTTACATGCAACTGTAATTCAGTTTCTGTTATGAACAGATTAAGGATTAAGCTGTTAACCTTGCTCCTGAAAACAGTGTGAGCCTTAATTTTAAGAGTAGCTGCTGCTTGCTGCTGAGAAAGTACTTCCTTGTTTGGCAGCATTTTATGAACTATCCAATATGCACATATGTTTGTTTGCAAGTTATAACTGAATGTAGATATCAGCCCTAAATTCTGTAAGTGGAACTCTATTGCTAACAGTTGGCTGAGGACAATTTATTTTGATTTCAGCCTGATGATGATGATGATGACGATGATATGGGAGACCACGATGAAGACCACCCTGGGATGGATGTAGTGTTACATGAGGATAAGAAATATTATCCAACAGCTGAGGAGGTATATGGTCCTGAAGTAGAAACTATAGTGCAGGAAGAAGATACACAGCCTCTTACAGGTGAGAAATTTAAATAGTAAGACTGTTGCACAACTTGCTACACTCTTCTCCAAATCTTAGTTCAGTTTTGTTGGATTACTGCAGAGTTGCTGTAAATCCAGTTGGCTTGCTTGGGAATGATAATGTTTTGCTTATTTTATTTATTACTTTTATTTTTGATTAGCTAAAGATAGTGTACATGCCTAATGTTGTGCTTACTATTTTTCCTACCACAAAAATCTGTGAATTGTGTTTGGCTAAGAAAGAGTGACTGGTGCAAAGTCACCAATGGTTTCATGCCTGTGGCAGGACTACAACACATAGTCTCTTGGTTTCTTGCTCAGCACTTTAGCCACTACCCCAGAATGGCTCTCATGGTTGTAATTTTTCATATCCCATTGGCACAAGGTTGGGAAAGACTGTTCCAATTAACCTGGCCAATGTGTTGGCTAGGGGGATTCTGGGAGTTGAAGTTCACTCTTAAGTTTGCTAAATTGGGGAAAAACTGTATTAACGTGATGAGAAAGTAACCAGGATAGATTACAGCACATCTGGTAAATAAATATACTTCTCTAATTGAAAGGTACCCATAATGCAATCCCAAAAAAATATTTGTAGAGTGTACTATCAGATATTTAGCTCAGATATTTGCACAGAATAACATATATGGACACGGATTTGCCATGCTATATTTTAGGCCAGATGTTATACATCAGTAAGAACTAAGACAAATATATTGTTCAGCCTATTGTGCTATTAGTACATTCACTATTTGATACTTGGAAAATATTCCCAGCCTCTTTTTAAACAAAAACAAATCTCTTTTTACTTGTCATGTATAAATCAGAAATCCAGTTTAAGATTTGTGACATGTATTTTTGAAACTTTTCCCATTGATAAATGATTTAGGAATGCCTTGTTTTCCCATTAAAGGCAGTATTATTTCAATGCTTTCTTTTCCTACAGAACCTATTATTAAACCAGTGAAGACCAAGAAATTTTCCCTCATGGAGCAAACATTGCCAGTTACAGTATATGAAATGGAGTGAGTAGAGCTTTGGATTTATTTGTTTTCCCTCCAACCCTTAGTGTTTTTGCTTCTCTCTGTTCTTTTCTTCACAACTTCTTTACAAATTGGCCACTAAACCTTTTAGTTGTTACAGTAGCCATCTTAATTTATATTATATTCTGAGAGATGTAGTCCAACTTATATGCAGTGTGCAAGTTTGCTTAAAGATGCCTTAGTTCATATTATAACACTTGTGCTTCTGCATTATTCTTCTAAGTCAATCTTAAATCTATTTTTATGTAATCACGCTTGCATGGTCTACCCTTTGTACATGGTCTACCCTTTGTATTGTACTCAATTTTTGTTTATCAGTTAGCAATTCTTTGTCATAGGCTAACTCTTTCCTACTTGTCTCATTATCTGCAGAACTTATAATCAGCACTATAGTAGTTTTTATTCTCTATTCTCAATGTTTGCTGCAAGCGTCCAGTAATGTGAAAGAGAGATGAGGAAATGCAGCATATTATCAACATGAATTATAAATTACAATTATTAGAAACAGATAAATTTTATTGAACTTTAATTGATATTGATATAGAAAATATACAGCTGCTCATCTTGCTTTCTTCCCATCTCAATTCAATAGGGCAATAAAGAAAATAAATAAAAGAAAATTTTCCTTAGGCAGTGATAATCACTAACAGCTTTTTCCTCTCTTTGATCTTTTTCTCTTAGTTTTCTTGCAGATTTGATGGACAACTCAGAACTGATCCGGAATGTTACACTTTGTGGACACCTACACCATGGGAAGGTGAGCATCTATTAAAATGTTCACTCATAGGGTTGGTTAGTTTATTTAATAAATTAATTAATTTATAAATTAATAAATATAGTAATAAAGAATCTGTGAAATCATTCTAAGCTTTATTAATCATTATAGAATTAAATCTGGTGTCTCAAGTTTTAAATTAATTTGAAATGAATGTTTTTAAATAATTTAATAAAAACTTAATGGTGCTTCTCATAACATTTTGAACATATGAAAGCCTCTTTGTAAAAACAGGAACCATTTACTAAGAAAAGCTCGTTTTTATTAGACAGATGAACCAGTGAAGATACTTTAAACTGACTTCCTCGATTGTTGAATTTGATGATCTAAATACCTCCTTCCAACTCTTATAATTCTGGGATTTGAGAGCAGCTTTTAACATTAGTGGCATACACAGTATGTTTAAATAGAAAAATCTGAAAGATTTTAATAAGTTTTAATGTTTAATATATCTCTGAAATATGTGGAACAAGAGTGTCTACAGTGTGTGTGTGTGCGTGTGTGTCTGAGAGAAACAGACAGAGAAAGAAAATGGAAAATGATAGTCTCGATAACATCTTGACTTTTTTAACATTCCCCACTCCCATGCTATTTAGTTGTTATCTCAGAACATGGGCCATCTTGTTTCTAATTGTAAAAAGAGCTAAAAGAACCACATCTTTATACTTCTTAATACTGTGTATTTTAACTAATTGGTGCATTATTTCTTTGTTCTTTTCTAATGCCTTTAGACTTGTTTTGTGGATTGCCTGATCGAACAGACACATCCTGAGATCAGGAAGCGATACGACCAGGATGTAAGTTCCATGATGCTGTTTCATTTTTTATGGGAAGTAGGTATATGATACTATAAGCATATAAAAGTGATTAGTCTTCCAATTATATAATCCATTATAATCCAGATAGTTTTCTTGGGATTTTTGTGCAAGGAGTCTCAGGTTCAGTTTTATCTTCTGCCATGGAAATTCGATGATCATTTTGGGTCTTTCTCTCTTATATAGCAGAGCTTCATAAGACTGTTAGAATGAAATAAAATGTGAGCCCCATATAAGATGTTCCAGTCTCTTGGAGGAAAAGCAGGTTATAAATCTAAAGAATAAAAAATAATAATACATAACAACAGAGATCTCTGAGATCTCTTATGTGTCTTATTGAGGAGAGATTGGAAAAGCAGAAGTAAAGGAAGCAATGTTCATTATTACTTAGCTGTCTGGATGAAATATTCTGCCTCAGTTAATCCAGTCTGAATGATGCCATTTCTGTTTTTTTTTCCAGCTTTGCTATACAGACAT